ACAATTTCCACGAAATGGAAGTCCACTCTTTATCTAAAAATCAAACAATTTCAGGGAATCTTCACTGGAACCCAGGTTCAGGTTGATTCAAATGCATACAGTCAGCATATCTACCTGAATGCAGATTTCCACCAAAGAGCCTAAAAAGGGGGCTTGCACAGTGAAATGGGCCAGTGCCTACCAAACACCTAAACCTTAATGAAATCATTGCAGATAAGCAACAGGAGGCTATTGGCCTAGGAGAAGTCCTGTCTATATTCACAGGTTAGTCAGATTTCCTACCTGTAATTACTCAAGAATTTGTTAAGAGATACTCATTATCTTTGCTACATTATCCAACACTCTGGTTCTCCTATCATTCTGCCGCTTGGAAGGCACCTTTACACACCGTGGAGGGCCTATGCAGTAAGCAAACTCAGATAGGCAAATGGGAATGAGTTACATCAAGGTAGGAGGGGTCAGCATAGGTATTTAAGAGTGACTGGGTCTGGAGAAGACTGTTGTACAGAAGTAAGAGACGACAGAGGCACACTTCGTTGGCAAATACTGGTGTCTATGAAAAGGGAGACGTGGACAGCACAAGAAAGTGTGGCATGGCTTGGCTTACCCTCTACCTTCTAAACGTTCTCTGGGCTGTGGCAGGAACCAGCACCCGAGCCCAAAGCTCTTGCTGTGAGTATGGTGATTGTTCCGATAGCAAAGACGCGGCGATCTCAGACACAGTTTTCCTGACGGGAAAGAGGTAGAACAGCAACCACTACAGGGGTTCTGAAGAGGTGGGCATAAGTCAGGGACAGTGGCACGTGCATCTTTCATGACTTCCTAGCCTGATTCTCTGAGAGTCAAGTCCATGCACCTTTTATGGAGACACAGTGAATCATGATGCAGGAATGCTGGTTGCTGGAACAGGACAGATACTTAGTGGTAACTATGACCACACAGGAGGTTTGAATATTTGCTGAGCAGAGCATGCCTCAAGTCATCAATATTCTTCATGGAAGAGCAGAGGAAAATGAATGCAAAAGAAATGAATGACTTCTAGGCAATGATGAAAAATCATGTGAGGTGCACCCATACACTGAGACAATGGGGATGTTCTATCGGGAACTCACCAAGGCCAGCTGGCCTGGGTCTGAAAAAGCCTGGGTTAAAACCGGTCTCGCTGAACATAGTGGACAATGAGGACTACTGAGACCTCAAGAACAATGGCAATGGGTTTTTGATCCTACTGCACCTATTGGTTTTGTGGGAGCCTAGGCAGTTTGGATGCTCACCTTACTAGACCTGGATGGAGGTGGGTGGTCCTTGGACTTCCCACAAGGCAGGGAACCCTGATTGCTCTTTGGGCTGACAAGGGGGGGGGGATTGGGGGGGGGGGGGGGGAGGGATAGGGGAGGCGGCGGTGGGGAAGAGACAGAAATCTTTAATAAATAAATAAATTAAAAAAAGAAAAAGAAAAATCATGTGAAATACTTCTGAGCTGTATTGCTTAAAGTTAGCACATTAAAAAATCACTTCAAAGATAGAGATTGCTGGAGACGAAAGGAGCCTCTAAAGAGAAATGTTGACACGTTCTGCATTTCTCTTCTGTCACTCGATCCTCAAAACTCTCAAGTCTTCTGCTAAAAGACCTAAAAGACACTTCTGGGAAAGGGGATGAGGACTGGGGGGAATGAGGGATGAGGAACAAGGGTGGGGGTGAGGCAAGTGACTTTCCTTTTCTCAGCTGTCCCCCCAGACCAGCAGTCCTGGGTCGATGGCCTCCAGAAGCTCATGGAGCGCTCGGTGATGAGGTCAGAGTTCCCAAACCCCAGCATCCTGATTGCCATGAATCTGGCCGGCACCTACAGTCCGGAGGCCCAGAAGAGCCTGACGAACGAGCTCATGAGCACCGACAGTGCAGGTCAGACATTGGAGCCCCCCCAGACCCCGGGTCTATATCATCACCTGCTCCAATTCATTCACCTTTCCCTACATAGCTGCAGACGTCTGTAACTAAAGGTATGTGACATCAGAATTGCCATGGAGGAGGACAGGCACGCACAGGGAGCTCCAGACTCAGTGCAGAACGCAGGGGCTTCTGGTTTCAAATCTGCTGCTTATGAACAAGAACAAAGTCTAGGGTCTATTCACTTTGCATGAACTGCTTTGAGGTTCACTTTCCGCCTGTATGTTTCCACAGACTTTCGTGGGGTTTCTCCTTTCTTTTCTAAACCGACAGCAAGAATTCTTTTCTTAGCATATGTTAATTATGCGAAACAGTTTCATTATACAGTCTGTGAGTCGTACAGAGAACACTAGATTCAGTGTTTCCTCAAAGATTTATTTCCATATTTCTTTTTTTTCTTTTTTTTTTTTTTTTTTGGAAAAGAGAGATTTCAAAATGACGTGAGTGCACTGCTTAAAACCCAAATCCTGAACTTGAGGCTCTGGCTATGAGGCTGGGAGATGCTGTGTATGGTGGCATACACCTGTCACTCCAGCACTCAGCAGGGGATCTCTGTGAGCTCTGGCCAGTCATGGGTACAGAGTGCCTCAAAAATTAAAAGGGGGAGGTGGTGAGCAGCAGCTGAAAGATGGGTTAGTGAGGTGGCTCCGTGGGGAAAGGCACTTGTTACACAGGCTCGATGATCTGAGCTTGAGCCCCAGCATCCACAAGATGTTAGAAGAATAACTGACTCTACAAAGATGCCTTTTGACCTCCACATGTGTGCTGTGGCTTGCACACACACACACACACACACACACACACATGCACACATGCGTGCACAAACACGGTAATAATAACAATAAATAAATAGTTGAAGTTTAAAAAACAAGTGCAACACTCAGTCTAGTCCCTGGGGCGCTCCGCCTGGGAATGCCTGCCATCGTCATTCTGTTCTCTTTTCCATAGACCTGACAAACGGGCAGCTCGCCCTCACCATTATGGCTCTCAGCTCCTCATGCCGGGACCCTGGAAGCAGAGTGCCCACTCTGCTAAAGAGAATGGAGAACTGGATACCCTCAAGTAAGACCCCGCGGGGAGGGAGGGGAAGGGGGGACAGGGTCCTTCCTGCGAATTTTTAACCCAGAAAGGAAAATGATGGACGTGGGAAGAGTGAAAAGTCAGGGAAGAGACACAAGGCCACCTCTGCTCTGACAGTCCCACCAGTGAGAGACTCACTTCTCAGCCAAAACGAACTAGAGAAGCCAACTCCCCATGCATGTACCGGGCAGCCACCATCCTCCCAGAGCCAGCACTGTCCCCCTCTTCAGATGCCAGATGACATTCTTCCTCTGAGAAATACTGATGTCACCCTTCGCCAATGTTGTCTCTTTTTATGGTGACAGGTTTCTAGAGATTTCTATTTAAAAGCCCCGGTCTTTGCTACTCAAAATATCCCCAGTGTGGTAAGTGTTGAACTAATGACAGTTCTCTGTTGTCTTCTGAGGCCAGGGTGATAATGCCTCGGGCTTCTATGGGCCCAGTCTGGCGATCCTCGCACTGTGCCAGAAGAACTCAGAGGCAACCTTGCCCATAGCAGTGCGCTTCGCTAAGAACCTGATGAGGGAGTCCTCCATCGGTGTGGGTAAGTTGAGGCTATCAGACACTGACCAAGGTGAGAGCATCAGTGTCGCAGTAGACGAGAGGTGGTGATGGAGAGGGAAGTAAAGAGGAAGAACCTTCCATGGAGGTGGAGCTGAGCCCTGCAGGTGTGGGTGCATGGAAAACATTGAACAAATGTTTATTGGACATATGAGTTAAGGGCAGACTTCCACTGGGACAATAAACTGGTCACAGAAGTCACAAGTTATCTTCAAATAAAATGGAGATAAATGTCTTGCCTCACCCCTACCCTGCACTCCTTAATTTGTACCAATTCTCCCAGACTCTGAACTTCAAGATGTTTCTCCTTTTCCCATCCACATATCCTTCCTACAAACAGCTATTTTCTGGAACCGACCAAGAGAACTTCTTGTTCCTCTGTTTTACCTACGCTGGGCTGCTAATGAATGAATCCTTTTCCTCTGTGATGCTTTTTCCTTCTGTTAGCCTTGCTGTGTGTAATGATCTTCCTCTGTTGAGCCCCTGCATGTTCTCACTGTCACGGTCCTCTGCCCCTCTCAAAGCAGCATCTTCTCTGGCTTTCTCCCACATCCATCATCGCACCCTTACTGGAGCTCTGAGATTTTCCAGTGAGCTGGGAAAGGCCTTCTCGAAAGCATTCCACTTGCTCTAGTCTTGTCAGAACTTGCCCATTTGGCCCACACACGTGTATCACATGCAAATAACGGAAAGTCTCTGCGCTGAGTGCTATGCTGGATGCACGGAGCCCAGGAACCACACATAGGACAGAGAATGCTGACAGAGTAAAACAGGCATGAACCACAGACCATAAACCACAGACTGCTGTGCTGGGAAGACCAAAACGCCTTCACTGAGGTGTGACCGCTGGGCCTTCCAGAACTTCTGGCATCTCAGAAGATCAGCACCGAGATGAGAGAAGCGGGATTTAATACACTGTCGTTTACACTGATTTAATACACTGTCGTTTACACTATTTAAAGCTTTAAAGTCGGAGCTGCTCAGCTGTATTCATTTAAAGTCTGGCCCTGCTGCTTACTGGCTGTGTGGCCTTGGGCAGTTACTTTACTGCTCTGAGCTCCCATTTCCTCATCTCTTAAATGAAGTTACTTATAGGTCCTGTTCACAGGTGGTCCCAAGAACTAAAGGAGGTTCTGTAACTAGGTCACAGTGAGCAACTGGTGAACACTGGCTATGGTGGTGACTGTAGTGGGGTCTGTCTCCCCTCTGCCTTCCAGATACTGGAGCGGTAGCAACCCTGGCCCTGACCTGCATGTACAACAGGATTCCTGTAGGCTCTGAGGAAGATTACAGAGAGCTGTTCGGTGAGACACTGAAGGCTCTCGTGGATGATATCAGCTTGAGGGTCAGAGCGGATGGCATCATCGGAGACACCTACAGCACTGGCCTTGCTATGCAGGTAAATGCATCCTATATGCTCCTAATCTAGGCCAGAATAACAAGCCTGAACTGTAGGACTAAGGGACTTTATGTCTACTAACATGCCTGTGAAAGTCCAACAAATGTGATTTGGGGTCACTTCCTTAACTACCTTGCCTCAGTTTCTCTACTAACAAAATGCAGGTATATGTTAGCTCATGGATAAAATGTGAAGATAAACCTAAAAGAATTCATTCTTCTTTCTTGGAAAAAAATGAAACAAATCAAGAATTTTGAGGGTTTATTACCAATAATAATCAGCTTACTAATAACAATCATACACTATCGAAATTCTGGTGCACACATACTAATATGAGAGTAGCCCTTCCAAAAGATATTCATATTTTCTGCTTCAAACTTACCAGGAAAGTGTTCTTTCTCTCCTACTTAACCTTACCCACAAAACAATGGCTTGTATTTAAAATGATTAACATGAGTAATCTAAAGATGACTCTGTATGTCTGTCTCTCTCTCTCAAACACACACACACACACACACACACACACAAATGAATAATAAAAGTCACCCAGTAAACAGTGGAGCCGAGTCTGAGAAGCTGAGTATGTGTCCATCTTTTATGCCTCCCTCACGTACCTCCAGGCTTAGATTAGGAAAGATGCTACTTGACAGCCCCTAATCCACCACCATCTTCAGCCCCCGGTGACTAGAGCAGGAATCCACTGTGGAAAGCACAATGGTGGAGAAAGCTTAACAACCAGAATCAGAAATTATAGAGTCACAAGCGGTCAAATCCTCTAGTCCATAATGAGCTATTAATGGTTAAATATCTTGGGAAATTAAGAGAAAAATTGCACCATGAACTCCCAACCTCAGAAACCCCAGGAAGGGAGAAGGCTGGAGTTACAATGTCAGCCCTAAGCTTTGTGTAGCTCTCAGCTACTATTATAAGGAAATCAGCTCCCAGAGCAAAAGATATACTGGTGTGGGTTCCCCACCACACACTAAAACTAGGAAGAGTCCAAACAGTGTATGTAACAGTCAGTGTCAAGCTAAGAGTGAAGACAAATCACCAGTCCAAAATACCAGAGGTGGGGGAGACTAAGAGCAAAGCCAGCTTCTCCATCTCGGTCACTGGAATTCTGTCATGAAACAAAACCACTTTCCTGCAGCTGAACCATACAAAAGCATACCCAGAACTCACATCTAGAAATTCCTGCAGAAAGCAGGCAGCCTGAAGAATGAATTTAAGCTGGGTTTGGCAGGGTTGGGTCACACGCTTAACCTTGTCTAAGGGGTTTTGAGGTTTTAGTGCCAGATTAAACAGGTTAGCAGATTTAGTGCACAAGTGTTTACCTTGCTGATTCCACTTAGGAATTCCAGTTTGGATTTTATCACTTTCTAGGTACAATCTGGTAGATTACACCTGATAATAAAAGCTTTTCCTATCAAAGGGTAAGACCTCAGCCATATCCAGATACCACTTACCATATAGATTTCTTGTTACTTAAGGCACACAACTTCTCCCTACCTGCCTGCTAAGGAGTATCTGCCTGGTGCTTCTTAGACCAAACCGCCTTGTAAAGCGGCCTCGATGGGTAGTTATGGGCTGCATTTTCCAAAGTTATCAGGATGACCACACCTGTCACAAATGTTTTCCCTAGGCTTTCCCTAGCTGAAACAACCATCTCAGACTTCCCTCTGCCACCAAGTTTCTCTTTCCAGTTTCATGCAAATTTGTCATTAGCCAACAAAGCCCAATACCATACTTGGTGCCTCTAGTTGGCATAACTGTAAAGGAAGGGAGGATGCAATGACAGTTGCCACATCATGTCTTGCAAAATTCTCTTCCACACTTGGCCACTGGACCCTCAAATGATAGGCCCTCTAAGAACAAGCAGGGCTTGTACTTTCTAATTTACCCCAAAGATAGAAAACTAAACAAGAATAAGTGGATTGCTTGGTGTGCTAATCCAGACTCATTTTGCAAGTACCTGAAGCTCAATTTTAAAGATGTAAATTTAACATTTCACATACCTGGGTGTGTCCAAGGCTAGATGAAGAAAAAGGTCAAATGGTGACATCGGGGACCACTATTAGTTGTCTCTCATCACTGGTTTCCCCCACTCTCTCCTGCTGTGTGGAATGTAAAATGGTCAATGACAGCTTGGTGTTTCCTCATACAGCCCCAACTGAAATACACAAGCAAGAGAAACGGTTTTCTCCTTCAGCACTGGAATGTCAGGGAAGGACTGACTGGTGCAGGCACCCACCACACATTGTTCCCAAGCAGTCCGGTGAAACCCAGGCCATGACTCCATCCGAAGGCCAGGGTTGTGGAAACTGTGGCTGACAGGCCTATGTAGACACAGGCTTTGGGAGAAGTCCTCCAAAAGGTGTGCCTGACAACACCAATCAAAAACAGTCTACCGCATGTGCCCGTCCAGCCTGCCCTAGACTACAGCGCCTTCTGTGGTTTGCTTTGTTACTACTGCTCCACATCTACACACTGTCCACAGCCATCTTAGCGGTATTTCCTGGCTCTAGTCATTGACCAGATAATTTTTCTGTTGCTATTTTTTAAAAGAATTTATCAGTGTTTGTTTCTTTAATGCTTTTATTTTGTCTTACGTGTATAGGGTGTTCTGCCTACCTGTGTGTCTAGACATCATAAGCATGCGTAATCCCTGAAAAGGCCATACATAAGAGGACAAGGCCATAAGAGGAGGATGGATCCCCTGGAACTGGAGTTACAGATGTTGTGAGCTGTTTGTTGTGTGGGTTCTGGGAACCAAGCCAAGGTCCTCTGGAAGAGCTCCTCCTTACTGAGTCATCTCCAGCCCCAACATTGTTTATTTCTTTAAATAACATTTTGTTTGTTATTGTTAGGCAGAAGATTGTGCCCACACCTCATGCATGCGAGGCAAATGCCTTGCCTCCACACTGTACCTCCAGTCCTTCTCCATCATGGGACTGACACTGTGGAGGACAAACGCAATTCCAAACCCTGTGCTGCTTCAGTTTGGACTATCATAATGATTAGCGATCAAGTTCAACCCCCAAGAGCCAACTTCCTGCCATACCTAAGCTCTCCTCTCTTTCTCTCTTCCTGCCCATGCCTGCCCCTCTCTGCTAGGCTCTCTCGGTGACACCTGAACAACCCATCAAGAAGTGGGACTGCGAGAAGACTATGAATGGGATACTCAATGAGATTAAGCAGGGCAAATTCGAAAACCCCATGTCCATTGCTCAAATTCTCCCCTCTTTGAAAGGCAAGACTTACCTAGACGTGCCCCAAGTAATTTGCGGTGCTGGTAAGAACTTTTCAGTGACCTCCCTTCTTATGTCATAAAGTTGCTACTTACAGTACAATGGCATGTGGTTTGATGCTGAGTGGCATATAAGACTGTTTTGTCAATTCATCCCAGATAGGTAGATCACTGATCTCCAACCCGCAATCATGTGTACTAGCACACAGCCAAAGTGCCTAGCCTTCAGAATTCAGCTACTCATACTGAACACCTACTTTTAGAAGGTAGATGGTTCGTGGTCAGGACAGGGAGCTTCATGAATTTGACAAATGTACTGCCAAACTTCACACATGTCTTATCTGCTCTTTATAACATCAGAAGACAGACATACAGGCAAAACTACAGTCTTTACAGTAATGAAATCAGTATTAATAGAAATCAACATCATCTACATTGCAAAAACAAAACGAGCAGAAGGAAGAAGGAGAGGAGACTAATAACCAATTGTTGGTTTGGCATAGATGAAATTCACCCAAGCCTTAAGGATCTAACAATGACAGCCTGACACTCACAGAACACCAACAGGATGAGGTAGAAGCCTTGCATGTTACTTCGTAACATTTTTGTTTCCAATCAAATACAACACTGAAATACTTGAAATTCAGACTGCCTGTACAGAGCCTTCCTAAAACTTCTGTCACTCCAGAAGAAGTCTCTGAAATCAATCCTTCAATTCTTCTTTCCTTATCAAATCCTTCCTCTTGCTTTCACTAGCTTCATATAAGCTCCTCACAGACTTCAGTGCCAAGTCTACAGGGGCCAAACGCAAGCAAACACACTGCCATCCTCTGAAACATTGCCACTTTAGCCTCACTCCCTAGCTGCTTCCCAGGGACATCACAAGTTTAACACGGAGTCCTTGCCAGGATTCTAGAATAGTTGTCCAAGTAGTTTGTTAAATAACCTAAAGGTTACTATTTTCTTGAAATCTTTTCTGGAATGTGTTCCCAATAACAGTGACTTCTGCATCCATAAGTCAAAATCTTTCATAAACTGGACCTTTTTGCTCCTCACAGATCATGAAGTGTTACCAACTCTAACTGACCATCCTACCCCTGTCCCCACATCAGCATCTAACATTAACGTCATATACACCATAAACAATCAGCTGAGGGGGGTTGACCTGCTCTTCAATGTGACCATCGAGGTCAGGGTGAAAAGTGGATCTGTGCTACTTGCTGTCCTAGAAGAAGCGCAGCGCAGAAACTCCATGTTCAAGTGAGTGGTGCCAATGGTTGCCATCCCCAAACCTGACTCAAATTCCTATATTCATATTCTCTCTCTCTCTCTCTCTCTCTCTCTCTCTCTCTCTCTCTCTCTCTCTCCCTCCCTCCCTCCCTCCCTCCCTCCCTCCCTCTCTCCCTCCCCTACACCCTCTCTCTCTCCCCCTAAGATCACATAACATGTAACTAATAGAGTTCAGAGCTAACCATGGATTTGACTGTCTTTGAAATTCATGTTCTACCCACTATCCTGTTAGGAAAGAGTAGAATATGGAAATGGATCAGAGGGGAGAATTAAATGTTGGGAAATGTCAAGTGTTTGCAAAAAAGAGGAAGCATCAGGGGAAGATAGGGAGGTCACAGGTTAGGAGTCAAGGGACCATGCCAGTTCATGGAAAAGAAAGGAGGACACTAAATGCCCAAGCCCTCTGGATATGCTTTACAAGTTCAGCATTTAATGTTGTCTGATTTTTCTTCCGTCTGTAAATATAAAAATGACAGATGATACATAATAGAAACTTGGAGAGGAAAAAACCCACAAAGAATAAATTGCCTCCACAACCACAATATAATCAGCTATTTAATAATCTGGTGGATTTTTCTATGTGTAGTATAAACAGTTATGATTCATCATATTCATAGGCTGGCATACACTTCTTTAAAAGTTTAGTCCTTATTTTTTTTAAATTTTACTTTATTGTAATCACGTGAGGAACATATATGCACCTATGGGGGCAAAGGACACCAGCTCCCATGGTTCTTTGTATACGGTCCTCTGAGAATCTAAACATCACTAAAGTTGACTGATAGTAGAATACATCCCCCAAATCCTCATGTGCACTGCCCTCTATGACGGCTACTCCTTTTATTGCTATGCAATATTCTATAGGGGAAAACCTGGGACTCTAACTGAGTCATGGAGCTGTATGTTATATAGAGTACAAATGTTTCATTGTACATACATGAAGGTACCCATTAGTCTGGAGTTCTTACCACACCAAACAGAAATAAACCCATGGAATCTGGCAAACATGTACTGTGCAAACTAAATTGTCCATTCTAAAAAACATATCCATAAAACATGACTATTGAAAAATGGAAATACCTATTAACCTACTCAAGTGAAAATATAAAGAAAAACTCCTTTATCTATTAACTGAAATTCTATTTTAAATGGCATGATTCTAAACTCAGTCAATTGCATTTTCTATTTTGAACATTATTTTTATTTGCTCTGTAAAGCACTTGAACATCTATCCCTCCATCTTACCTTCTGTTGCCTGATTTTAACTAAGTGGTACTACTTACATTTTATTCTTAGATTTGAAACCAAAATGACATCTTGGGGCCCTATGGTCTCTTCTATCAACAATATCGCTGAAAATGCTAATCAGAAGACATACTGGGAGCTCCTTAGTGGCAAAACACCTTTGGAGGAAGGTAAGGAAAGCAAAAGAATGTGGTTTTCTTCCAGTTGGAAGGCTACATTTACTAATTCTTTAATTAATGTACTCGGTGAATGTGAAACTGTATGTGCTTATAATAAGGGTATACATAGGAACTGAGTATCATATATAGTCATAAAATAAACATTCCACAATTATTAGTGACTCTTTTTACAGGAATGTAACTAAATCCAAGAGATGTGATGGGAATTTTATACCCTGGTGATTAACCCCAAGTAACCCATAATGCATCAGTGTAGCGTTAAGGAAAGGAATAAAGGTACTTCCCCCTTAAGGCCATTTCACCGAGAGCAAGTTCAGATTTGAATTCTCTACTTCATCAGACTTGTATCTTCCATCTTTTGTCTTTCTGTTGCATGGGTCTGAATCTGTGCCTGCCTGAAGAGGGCTGTCTTGTTGATCTGTGTGGTTTGTGTGTGCTGTGTATCTGTCGTGTCTCTGTCTGTGTGTCTGTCCCTCACAAAGGGCTTTGCTCTGTCTTTATTGAACAGCACAGACAGCGTCACGTGGGGAAAGAATGGGGCACTTTACAGAAACATTTAGCGGTGTTACGAACATCAGTGTTCCGATTTCATAAATGGCTGCTTTCAGACTTTATGGTAGGATTAAGAAGTCGCTTTCAACTTCTGTATCTGATGCTGTCAGCAAACGATACACATGCATTGTTCTGGGTGAGAGGCTTGCAAGAGTATATAACTTATGAATTTAATATCATGGCCATGCATTATCTTAGGCTGTAAAAGTTGACTACATGAGAAATTCAAGGCAAGTATGTTGATTCTTACACTGTTCTCAGAAAAGGAGGCCAAGCAAATAGGCTGAGTACTTAGTAAGATAACAGTCTTAAGTCTTAAGTGACCACAATTTGTATTATTAAAGCTGGCAGCAGTGAGGTCCAGCAAAAATTCCAGTCTCTTAGAATGCAAGAAATATTTCAGAATATTTCATCACCATGAGATGTCAAAGGGACCTGTACAAAACACAAGACTAGAATCTGACAGAACAAACAACGAAGTCCAGGTTTCCAAACTTGAGGACGTGAGCTTTCTAATACAGCTTCAGCAAAAATCTAGCCCTCGCCACCTGCTTAGTCCCTCACAAAAGGGGTGTCTGTAACTGCATCTATGTGGTAAACACGGCAAGAATGAAACTCAGACTCCAGCAAAACCTGAGTATTCCTGAAAGATTTGCACAAATGCTAAGACATCTTCCCACTTCAAGAGCCCCGAGGCATGGTTTTGCCTAAGGACCACGTTGACCAGGCGCTGACGGTTAGCATGAAAAGGACTGTAAATCAGAGCCACGGGAGGCCAGGGCTGTGTCGTGAAGGCTCCGTTCTCCAGGGTTGCTTGCCATCTCCCATACAGTTAGGAAAGACTGGCCCGTCAGAATTCATGAACTGCAGCAACAGGCTTTGGAGAAAGCGCTTCTCACAGTCATAACCCACAGTACACAAGTAAGGAATAAGTCTCTGTAGCTATAACATGGAAATACCATTCCTTGGGTTGTTGTAAGGATTAGAAAAATTGTTCAAGATTATTAACTATAATACCATTTGCAGATTATGTGCTCAAAATGCTGCTGTTATTGTCATTTCTCCCACTACCTTTAAAATTTCAGAATGATTTTTTGAGATCAAGGTGGTATTTTCATTTTATAGTTCCTTTCTCTGGAAGCAAACACAGTAAAAGTAAAGATAACAGATTCAAAAACATTTTGGCACGAGATTGTCCTACTTCCTGTTGCCAGAATACCTAAAAGATAAAAGATATCAACACCATCTATCCTTGTCATGAAAGGTTCTCAGCCTATTGCCATTCCTATTTCTTACAAACTCTCCCAAAACTAAGTGAGATTCTTCGTAAATACTTTGTGTCATTTATTGCATGGCTCCTAGGTGCCAGATAAGTCTTCTAATACTAAAGATAACATTTCAGAGAGAATATTTAACAAAAGTTTCTACATGAGAGGAAAGAGACTTATGGGCTAACCCCCAAAGACATGCTCCATAAAGTGGGAACCTAAGGGTAGGAAAGGAGAAATCCATGGACATGTGTAAGCAAGATAAAAGCAAATACAAGCAGAAAATAAACCATCTACCACATGGAAGAAGACAGGGAGGGAAAGTGCCAGGCCACCCGCTCTAGGGAATGGAGAGATGGCTTCATAGTTAAGAGCAGCAACTGCTCTTGCAGAGTACCAAGCAGCCATATCACATGACTCACAACAGCCTGTAATCCCAGGTCCCTCTTCTGGCCTCCACCAGCACCTTTACACACGTAGTGTGCATACATGTGCACACGCATATACACACACAATAATAATAATAATAATAATAATAATAATTTTTTTAAAAGAAAGAAATTCCTAAACAGGGCTAGCAAGAGCTGGTAAAGACATCTAGCACTAGGCTTGGTGACCTGAGTTTGATTTGTGGGACCCACATGATGGAAAGAGAGAATCAACTCTCACAAGTTGTCCTCTGGCCTTCACACGCACACAAATAAAGTAACAACAATAAAAGCATTTTAAAAGAAATCTTAAACATCCCAAATTCATATTCCTACCCACGTCTCCCACGGTGATCTTACCCTCTAACCAGCTCAATGGGCTGATGTCCTGGCATGGGAAGTTGACAGGCCCCACGGCATTTGTTATCCTCCACCTCTTTTCAGGAGTTGCTTACTACATTCCCTTCAACAACGAGCACATCACAGCCAACTTCACCCAGTACTGAGGAGGAGTCTCTTCTGCTGAACGGGACCAAAGGATGAGGAGTTCTTAAATCTCATTTCAAATCTATGCCAAGAAGAGTGGATGTTAACAACGCTACTCTAGTCCTGATATAAAAAAAAAAAAAAAACCACAGAGCCATTGTGTGGAATAAATGGCTCCTAATGCAAAGTTCCTGGAGTACTCACCATTGTGACTCATGAAATAAAATATCTGGCTTCTCAAGGCAGACTGCGAGTCATCATTTATGCCTACGGCGAGAGAGAAGGAAAGCCCCAGTGATTTGGAGAGATCCGTGCAATCTTCTGGATTAAACAACACACTCACTACTTCTACAGATAACTATTAAAACGCCTGCTTGTGTTTCTTATACTAAGGGCTCTTTTACAATTCACCCACTACAAACATGTACACAAACACATTTGTATGAAATGAACAAAATTACTCCATACGTAATTCTAGAACGGTTTGTAGCTCAGTAAATGACATCATGACTTCTATTTCTAATATTTTCTGGGTAAATTCATGTTTCAAAATGTTCACAGTTGGGGAGGGGACTGGAGAGATTGCTTGGCCGTTAAGACTTGGCAGCACACTTGGCTGCCTTTCAATTCTCAGCACACACATGACAGCTCACAACTCTCTGTATCTCGAGTTCCAGGGAATCCAACACCCTCTTCAGGCCTCCATGGACGCTTCATGCACATGGTGCACAGATATACGTGCACACACATACAGACACAAAACACCCACACACATAAAATTTTAAAAATGTTTCTGGGGATCAAGAGGTGGATTAGCGGGTAAAGTGTGTGCTGTACAATCATGAAGAACAGAGTCTGGATCCTCAGCACCACCTAAGAGAGTCAGGCATGGGATCCCGTGAACATTCATAACCCCAGCACTAGGGAGGTAGAGATAAGCAAATGCCCGGAGCATACTTTCTGGTCAGCCTGACCAAAACAGCAGGAGACCCTGTCTCAAAGACTAAGATGGAGCACACTCTAGGAAACACCTGATCTTGGTCTCTGGCCTCTATGTGTGCACACATGAACAAGTACATCCACACACGTGCACAGCCACACATGTGCACACACACACATGTGTACACCTACATATACCAGACATACACAAAAATAATAGTCTGAAAATACCGTGTGAGAAAAAATCTGGACAGAGAAGGAAAAGACTCTGCACCTACATTCTGTGCACGCTTGTAATAAGGACACTAACTGAGCCGGGCAAGGTAAACTAAAAATGCCAGGGTCTCGGTGGGAAACTGAGGAAGCCGGCCTATCCTTAGCTTAGAAAAAGTTAAGGAGCTGTCATTCTAGTAGGCATGGTGGTACTGGCCTGTAATTCCAGAACATAGGAGGGTGCAGAATCCAGGATTTGAACCAGACTGGGATCTATGCAGAGAAAGAAAAAAAAAAAAAGAGGAAAGGAGAGGGAACTCTTCAAGATATGTATGTTGTTTATAATAAGATACCTACGCAGCCTGGAATAAAACAAAGCTTAACACACACACACACACGGGGGGGGGGGGGGGGGGGGGGAAACAGTCACATTAACTGTCACAGCAGATGACAAACTCATGCTCAGGGTTACATAACTCATAGAGCTCAAGAATGCACTTGGGGTGGGGTAGAGGTGAGGTAGAGGGAGCAGGAGGAGGGGAGGGCGGGGGAACTGTGGTTGGTATGTAAAATGAATTAAAAAATTAAAAAAAAGAATGCACTTGGCTTGGGTGTATAACTATAAAAGCACAATGGTGCCCTCTAATGGCCACAAATGGTAAAGCCGAAACTATGGAGGTGCCGTCAGTTGCAGGTATTTTTTAATGCTGCCGGGAAGACACAAAGGAAGAGAAGGCAGAAAGGAAGACGTTTTCCCCGAAGAAGAAGTGTGCACACTTGCACGTGCCTTTGATTAGATGTGTGGGAGTGACCTATGTAAAGTACAAACATATGGTCAAGTCCACCACCTCTCAAGGAACTGGAACCAGCTAGATGAAACCTTCTGTCTTCCAGTGCAGAGACAGAAAAGGCAAGTTTGCAGAATGGAAAACATGACTTCAGCCTGTACAAGTAGGCAGCAGTTAGGGAACCCAATGCACAACAGAAAGCTTAAAGTAACCGTATTCCTGTTAAATTGGTGTACACAGTGATGGGTTTCATTATGAGGTGTTCATACTTCAATTTTGTTGGTCCTCTCCCCTGCCTCATGCTGAGTCCCCTGCCCCATCACCTGCGGGTACCCTTCCTTTTCCTTCTTGTCCTCCATCTGTCTGTACTCTCTTTCCTCTTTTCCCCCTCCCCAATTTTCCTTTAGACTGGTCCCCCGTTAGTCCCTTTTCTAGTTTCAACATACACACCCCACACCACACATTAAAATCAAGGGTCTGACTAGGAGAGACAGAACAAGCAGTTTTGAATTGATAGGGGAAAAGTGAAGACGTGCATACGAAAGAAACTAGTATACACACAAGCAAATCACAAATGTTGAAATCAAAAGCGTGAGGGAAAGTTTGCTATCACTCACCAATGAAGAAAGGAGAACCAGCCTATCGCTGCTATGTGCTTATAATTCATTAAACTGGGGTGCTCTCAGACATCAACTTTAGCCTGCATCAACTTTACCCGGCTTTTTTTCGCTACCTCTATCCAGACAGTGTGGGGCTGGTGTTTTGTTGTTTGTTACTGCTGTTTCACTTCCTCATTGCTTTCAATGGCGACTGTTAGCGGCTCAGCAGTAACACAGTCGCTGCTCCTTTGCATCCTTTGCTCCTTACATCTGTTGCCTACGCGCAGGTTACAAGCACCTGGAACCACAGCGCTCTCTTCTGGCCTATTTGGGCACCTACACATGCATGAAAATGTCCTTTGTAAAATTATCCCTCCTAATTACAGAGAACATAATTTCAAAATCTAAATGCCTAATACTACATAATACTACGCTGAGTTAAAGTTAGGGGGAAAACTGTCCCTCGAATCAGTACTATTTTAATTAGAGAGATAACAGGAAATAAGACACAAAGAAGGGGGTCTCTATTTCCTTGTTTTAGAATCTCCCCAATCAAGTAACATTTTCGCTTGCCTCTGATCAGGCACCTTTGCTTACCTTCCTGGGATGGGTGGCACCTGTTGTGGGCTTAATTACATCTCTTTTTAAAAATGTTGGAGTCCTGACTCCTCCCTGATCCTTCTAAATGTGGCCTCTTACCAGGACAGGAGGGGGAATATGGTCTTTACAAAAGTAAACAGGTTAAAATTATGTCCTTAGGGGGTTTTGAAAAGTCCAGTAACACTTTGGAAGCAGGTGCACTGTACAGGTGTGGAGATCTGTAAGCAATTCTCCCAGGATATCTACAAGCATTATAGATTATATTTATTGTTTGTGAAATTAATTCCTTTTTAAATCTTTTGTTCATTTTACATACCGATGAAATTGATTCTTAAGGGCATACAGATTTAACATGGCTTAAACACAACGGACACGTCTCACTTGCTAATACCATTTGTCTCCTAAAAGCTTGGCTATAGATCCTCTTGTTTTCATGATTACAAAGCCCCAGCCTCAGAAAAAAATGATGGTGCCCAACATTTCCAAAAAGATGATTATATATATATATTTTTTTCTTTTCCCTTTGTTATTAATTTATGGTGTAGTTCATTCACTAAGGTCTCTGAAGTTACAGAAACTGTGCTCAAATTTTTCATTGTAATGCTGAGAGGAAAAATCCTTTGCAAAATAATTACAATTATTTGAAACAGACATTTCTAAAAACCATCAGCACATCACTAGGGCTCACAAGGTAAATAAAAGCAGGATGAAATATCTTCACTTTGTGTCTTTATTCTGCCTACAGACCCAGAGATAAATCACTGACTTTAACTTTCCCTTTTGGGTTCCCTTTTTATTATTTTATTTGTAGTGTGTGTGTGTGTGTGTGTGTGTGTGTGTGCGCGCGCGCGCGCGCGCGTGTGTCTGTCTGTCTGCCCCACATGCATACCTGGTTCCCCCAAGGAGGCCAGAAGAGGATGTCTAATCCCTTGGAACTAGAGTTATAACCTGTTGTGAGCCACAGTGTGGCTGCTGGGAATTGAACTCAAGTCCTATAGAACAGCAGCCAGTGCTCTTATCTACCCAGCCACACCCCAGCTCCTTCTCTTGGATTTCTTGAAGGGAAAAACTTGAAGACAGAACGCTGCCACTCTTCTGAGAAGACAAAGGCTGCATCTTGAAACAGAATTGATCTATTATAAAAACAGACACTTTAAAAACTATGCCAGTTTGAGATGACTATCGTGCCAAACCAGAACTGAGACAATGATCAATCAGGCACCTTGACCAAACTGCTTAATTATGCATACTTTTAGCCGACCCCCCCTCCCCCAATTCGTCTTCTATTTAAACTTTAAGCTGTGAGCATGGTGGATTATGCCTTTAATCTCAGCACTGGGGAGGCTGAAGCACGCGGATCTCTGTGAGTTCGAGGCCAGTCTAGTCTACATAGTGAGGTCTAAGACAGCCAGGACTACATAGAGAGATAGCCTGAAAAACAAACAAACAAACAAACAAAGCTCGTGTCAGGGCCATGAAGACAGTCTTGGACGGTCACTGGGCCCCTTCATCTGTTGTTTCAAATGAAGCCATTATTCTGTTTCATTGGCATATTGGCGACAGGTTATCGAACCCAGCCTTTTGGGACAGCCCAAGTCTGGGCTTTTACTTTGAAAACTCCAGCTACAGCTCTTCTCATGGATTTATCGGGACAAAACTGTGCAAGAGCCCAGTAAACAAGCCAATGACAAATCAATGACACTTTCTAACGTCCTCAAGAGAAGGGACATAATACAACGAAAGTTAAGGGAACAACTTGCCTACCAAACCTCATGTTTTCACAGCTTTCTACACCAAGGAGGAAAAACCTGATCGGTCACTATGGGGGGAAAAGCCAGAGATCCTCACAGAAACAAGGAACACCCGGGCGTGGTGGGGCGTGGCGTGCCAGACCTTTAACCTGCAGACGTCTGCTCCGGAACCAAGAGTTGGGCCCAAATTTCCTCCGCTTCCGTCGGGACTCTCTAAGGGATGGAGAGTATAACGTCACTTCCTGTCCTGGGTAGCTTCCGGTCGCCTGAGCTCTGTGTTTTACGGAGGGAAACTGCTGCTGTCGCCGAGAGAATCCTGACCCGGCCGCTCGTGCGTGGCCATGTGGAGGCTGCTGGCGCGCGCCCCCGCGCCGCTCCTGCGAGTGCACTTTTCAGGTCCGAAAGCCTGTTTGGTCTTTTAAAAAGGCATTCCCCTGTTCTTTCTCCCCCCCCCCCACTCCAATGTTTACTCTGGGAAGACGTGCGCTTTCCGGCCGCCACCTCCGCGGGGCGGATCACTGGGTCCCAGTCCCTGTGTGGGAGTCGGCGCTCCGACACCCTGCTAGCTCCCTTGGGAGCTCTTTAGTGGAACTCGCGCCCCACACTTCTAAACACCTCCATCAGGAGTGGCCCAGAGTGTACCAAGAGTGATTTGTCTTGTCTTTATAGATTCTTGGGCAGCCCTTCCCACCAGTGCTGGTCTGAAGACCCTCCTCCCGGTGCCAACTTTTGAAGGTGAGCGCCTGTCCTTTCCACTTGTTTCTCTGATGAACTCCAGCGGATGGCAAAAGACATAGGTGTTCTTGGTGCTTCCTAGCTTCCTTGAGTGATTGAACAAACACAGATGATGAAGGCATACTGTGCTGACAAGCAGTGTTCTGAGAACTAGAGGCAAAGAACGTAAAAGTTCCTCACCCATGCGAAGCAAATACCTATTGGGTTAGTTTCCCGGCATCCTGCCACTGATATGTGGCTCCCATGATCTACTCAGTCAGAGTCATTTATTAGACTTGATCTTCTCTCCAAACGATAGTACATATATGCACACATAGCAATAGTAACCAGGTCAGGTACAACCCTGTAACTCTAACTGTACTCTCCAAAATGCAAACAGCCTGGGCAGCTGAGGGTCTTCTGCACATAACTGTTATATTACTGTGGGCTGGAGCAGTGGCTCAGCAGATAATAGCACTTGTTGCTCTTGCAGAGGACCCAGGTTCAGTTCTCAGAACCCGCATGAAGGTTCACAACCATCTATAATTCCAGTTCCAAGGGATCCAACACCCTCTGCTGCACATCAATTCATGCAGGCAAAACGCTCATAAAATTTTTTAAGAAACAAGAGTACTGTGTGCTCTTGGAAGTGCATACTAACTTGTAAATGAAAGAACATTACCAAGTTCCTCAGTAGTTGCCCCAAAAATTTGAGGGGAAGGGTGGGTTTTATAACTTGGAATATCAATTTTATAATTCCACTGGTAATTTGATGAGTCTTTGAGGCTTCCTAATTTTATTTCTATCTTGAAGTCCTACTTTTTTCATACTAATTTTTTTATGAATCAATTGTTTTTCCTAAGTTGCCAAATAAAGTGGGTAAAGATGTTAAACTGCTGATCGGAGAATTCCCACACTGTAAGTTTCTCAAGAAAAATACAGCACATTGAAGAACTTAATGTTTTTGTCCAGTGTAGTACTCTGTACCCCCATTAGCATTCAGAGGGGCAGTGACTATTTTTTTGTAAAGAACATGTTTCTGCTTTGATGTTTTAACTGATTTAATTGTAAAATGACTCTATGCCCCAGTGCCTCTTTAAAATGGAGACGAGAAGACCACCTGCCCCGTTATCTGTTTGCTTGATCTAGGTGAAAATTATGTTTGTTCTTTTTGATTTCTTTAGTTTTTATTTATTTTGTATGCATGTGGGCTCACACGTGCCATGGCATTTGTATAGAGGTCAGAAGACAACTTATGGGAGTCAGTGCTCTCCTTCTACCCTGTGGGCCCTAAGGATGCAACTCAGGTGGGCAGACTTGAGAGCAGGTGCTTTTTACCAGTTGAAACATCTCATAGGCCCTTTGTTTTCAATTTCTAACGCTCCACTTTGTAATATGCCCCCCCACCTTGTCCGTTTAGTGTATGTGGTTTAATTTTCAAAAGTTCAAGCTTTAAAAAAAAGAAGCCCTAAGTAGTATAAAGGTCACAAGGGTGTGGTGATGCACACACTCAGTCCAGCACTTCTTACAAGATTGAGGTTACATGTGATCACCTGACAGCCATGAGGACCGTCTCAAATGCCAAGGCTGCTTTAAAGGTGGAGTGAAATAATCGCTTACGACAGTCCCTGCTACCGCTGCCGAACATAGAGCAGGGGGTTAGTGAGCGAGTTTGGTTTAGAAACATTGTAGAAAATGTTATAGCTGAAAGATTCCAGTCTCACTGGAAACACCCACAGGAGAATGGATACACCATTAATACTGGAAATCCAATAACCTTTGGAATTATTATTCGGTAACCTAAGACTTCCCCTTGATTGTGTCAATCTTCATGGGAGAGATCCTCTGAGAAGCGTAGCTTCACTTACTCTTGGTTGGTTTTGTCCCTCCCAGATGTCTCCATCCCTGAAAGGTCCAAGCTTAAATTTGTTGAAAGGGTGCCACTTGTGCCAAAAGTAAGACGAGAACCTAAAAATCTGAAGGACATACGCGGACCCTCAACTGAAGCCACTGAATTTACAGAAGGCAATTTTGCAATTTTGGTGAGTGATAAAAGAGATTAACAAAGTTTTCCACTCTTTGAGTTGGTTCTTGTCTCTTCCTCCACATTCTTAGAACTGCCACACCTAGATACCACATTTCAGTTCTTCCTTAAATAGATGTAGGTCGTAGGGTTGAAAACACAGTGGTCCTGTACTGGAAGCTGGAGAGTATGGATAGTGCTGAATCTGTACAAGCTCTGTGATACTGTCACAGTGAACCTGATAAACTAGTGGCTACTAAGAACCCCACAGGAGGTAGCCTATACAACAGGTATACACTGAACAGACAGTTGATTCATATCTAGGTGGAACTGTGTAGAACACGATAATATTGGGGGTTTTTTGTCTTGCTATTCCAAAAAGTGTTTAGTTTAAAATTATAAATTGTTTCCACCAGGATCTCCACTTTGTTTCAGATGGGGACTAGAGGGGGTGAGGAAGGCACCTGTGAAAGCAGGGCGCAAAGGGGCTGCCTCATTTGCCCAGTTAGAACAAGATCTTTTCAAGCCTTTGGTGAAAGTGAAATATTCCTGGTAGAGGATTAGAACAGCTGCTTCATTATCTGTTGAGTGGTTTCCGTGAAGATTAATGTCAGCAGCCACACAGACGGATATGCACTAGCGTTTCTGCTCCACAGCAGCCAGAGATAGCTGTAGAGTCCCCCGGCCTGCATGAGCACTGAGCACTACTGCAGACCTCAGGGCCTTCTATCCACTCTGCCCTCCTCCTGCACCCCAGCAAGCACTGGCTTCTGCTCTAACTCACCAAGCCCTTTGCTGTACCAGGGCATTTACATCAATGTTTGTCTGGGGCTCTCCTCTCTTGACTAGTTCTTAGGATTCTATCCTCAGCTTTCCATAAGAACTTAATATGTTTATTTTCAAGTATATCATTAAAGCCAGTTCCTATAAAAAGAAGCAGATAATAGACTCTGTAAAAGATTTCTAAATCCCCATGTGTTCTAATTTTTCTATTCATTTTTAGGCACTAGGAGGTGGTTATCTCCACTGGGGCCATTTTGAAATGATGCGCCTGACAATCAACCGCTCTATGGACCCCAGGAACATGTTTGCCATATGGCGAGTGCCAGCCCCTTTCAAGCCCATCACTCGCAAAGGTGTCGGGCAGCGCATGGGGGGAGGCAAAGGTGCCATTGATCACTATGTGACCCCTGTGAAGACTGGCTGCCTCATAGTAGAGGTGGGTGGACGCTGTGAATTTAAAGAGGTCCAGGGTTTCCTGAACATGGTCGCCCACAAGCTGCCCTTTCCAGCAAAGGCTGTGAGCCGTGAGACTCTAGAAAAGATGCGCCAAAGTCAAAAAGAAAGAGAACTTAACAACCAAAATCCCTGGACCTTTGAGCGCATAGCCACGGCCAACATGCTTGGCATACGGAAATTCCTGAGCCCGTATGACTTGACACAGAAAGGGCAATATTGGGGCAAATTCTACCTGCCGCAGCGTGTGTAGAGGAAGCACAGACTCCTGAAACTGAGTCTGCGTCTCTGCTGTCTTTAGGGTCTGGTGATTCTTGGATCATAACTGAGCACATGAGCAAGGGACTTGTGAAAAGCTGTGCTGTCAGATTGTTTCTATTAAAGTGTGAGTGTAACTCGAGGTATTGCATTGGTCATTTTCAGTTGTTTAAGAACGAGCTGGGCGATGATGGCACACACTTTTAATCCCAGCACTTGGGAGGCAGGCGTAGGAGGATCTCAGGGAGTTCAAGGCCAGCATGGTCTACAGAGCGAGTGCTACACAGAGAAACCCTGTCTCAAAAAAAAAAAGAAAAAAAAGAGAGAGAGAGATTAAGAATGATTTGGCATAGCCAGCTGTGGTGGAGCATGCCATTAATCCCAGCACTCCGGAAGCAAAGGCAGGCCATTGAGTTCAAAGCCAGCCATGCTACGTGCAAGATCCTGGGGGGAGAGGGGGGGGCCCTGGTAGGATGTCTCAGTTCCGACATTGTACCATGCATGTCTCCAGGGCTGAAACTTGTTTTTCTATCTCACAGCTGGAAATGTAAATGTGTTTACTGCCTAGTTTATGACAGTTTGCTAATTACAAGCACGTTTTTTAGAATAATAAAGATAAAAATGACAGTACCTAGATTAGTAGGTTCAACAGATATTTATTAATACCCAGCTGCTCATCTTCTGTCAGTCTCAGAAGGGGAAACATGGAATATGACAAGGAATGTACCATTTAGCAAAAAACTGATAACAAAAGTTGAAACCTTTGGCGCTTCCTAGGTCTGAAACTATCTAAGGAAGGGCATTTTGGCTCTGTGTTCCTTCAGGATCTAATGTGTGTGGAGCAAACAACTTACTGCTGGATAAATGAGGATCCTGTGGGATCCAAAACCTCGTGACTCCAGCTCCATTTGTTTTTTTTTTTTTTTAAATATTTATTTATTATGTATACAGCATTCCTTCCATGTATGTCTGAAGGCCAGAAGAGGGCACCAGACCCCATTACAGATGGTTGTGAGCCACCATGTGGTTGCTAGGAATTGAACTCAGGACCTTTGGAAGACAGTCTGTGCTCTTAACCTCTGAGCCATCCCTCCAGCCCCACTCCATTTGTACCTAACAAGATTAACCTGTTTTTCTGAGCTAGCCAGTATCTCCTATTCAAACTAAAGGAAGCAGGAACTGGTAGAAGTATTAGACCACTGGCTTTTGAAGGTGGGTAGAAAACAGCACACTGATAAAAACAGGGGTTTTTATCCTGCGTGTGAAAAAAATAACATCTCCAACAAAGAACAGAAGTATTTCACTTACTTTCAAGAGGATATTTTTAGTCCCAGATTTTTCATGTATCTTAATGAGTGTCTTCAATATAATAATCTCTAAATAAATATTTTTAAAATCGAAACACAGTGAAACCTTAGATTGGAGATGTGCTTGAACCAGTTTCTTGCACCTGTCACTAACCAGCCATTTCTGCTAACACGGATCTGGGATGGTCAGAAGCAATAGCCTGATCACACTTTTTTTCCCTTACACCTCCCATTGTTCCAGATCACAAAGTGTGCTGGTTTGGTTTATTGGGAACTGAATCATAGTATAAACTTCTTCCTTTTGGTGAAGTTAATGAACCTCCATCCTGAAACCAACCACCATCTCTGCCAGATGAGAGGCTATTGATACAAATCTATACCACCAATAGAAACCCAACTTCTACTTACCCCCCCCCCCACACACACACATAGACACTTCAAAGAGTATGATATGGTAACAGGGGTGGTTGTAGTACTTTTGCATAAGCCTCTGATAGCAATAAACCATGTTCCCTATGATACCTTAAAGAGTTTAAAAACCAGGCTTGAGAACTCTTCCATGAATGAAATCAAAGCTCGACTACAAGTAAGCGAGTATGTGGAGGTGGCAGGCACGTGCTAAGCAGTGGGGACATGGTGGTAGTAAAGACAGGCATGGTGCCAATCCTGAAACAGTCTAGGCTTCAAAATTATTCTTGGACCCTGAAGAAGGAAGCAGAAATGTGGTTGGCTACGGTTGAGGCCTAGAAGAGCCTTTAGAGTAAAGTACTGAGTACCGCGTTCTGAGAGGCAGACTCACAGAATGCACTGAAGACCCTGTGAATTTGGCATTACAATACCTGCCTCTTCACTGTCCTGGCATTCTGGCTCATGTTGTACCCTAGCAGGGGCCCATTATGCTTCTCCACCACACAGGCCTGCCCTTCAAGAACATCCAAACCACCTGCACATTGCTGTGCTCCCTGTTTCTCATCCATGGCGCCTTCAATTCATTTCTTCCCCCTCTGTAACATTGCAAAGCAGTTGATTGGTGCCCTGTGTTGTGAGTTTACTAATGAAAAGAGGCAGAGTTGTCGAGGACTCTGAAGGGAGAAGTGATGGCACCAAAGAGGTGGAAGACTGGAGATGCTTGTTGAGAATCCATCTGTGAGGGCAGAAGGAAGTAACAGAAAATGGAAAGAAAAACCATGTATTACACAGCATGGTACTCATGGACAGAATACCAACTCTCCTTTGCAGGGGTGAGAAACTACTCTCAAAACTACTGGCTTGTCCTAACCTTGGAAGTGGGGGGTTTTAAGGCAAGTTCAATGCAAAAATTAATTCTTACTCCTTTTACCATTTCTAAATACAAGGGCTGAGACTGTACAAGAGGAATGAACACCCTTACTGTTCAGAATCACTCTCCTACCAGACTCAATCATGGGGCCAACTCCTACCTTTTCTCCCATCTCCCTGACTACCTCCTCCCAATCATTCCTCACCTATGTCTCCCAAAACATCCCTTTCCTTTGTTTTCTCTACCATTCACCTAGTCCTGCGCCCACCCCCACCCCTTATTAGGCAATCTGGTGACATACAATGAAAATAAGGAGAATATAAGTTGTTATGTAAGAGAGACAGCAGGCCTGACCCCCAGGCCCCGGCCAGACAGCTCACCTTTTTCAGGCAAATATGCCCCCAATGGTGGAAGCCAAGATGATGGCAAGGATAACACAGCAGATCATGATCATGATCTTCTTCTGCTCATCATAAGGAGAGAGAATGACATGAGAAACAGCATCACTGTGCAGATACACACTACGAAAGGAGACAGGTACAGCTAGACACAGAAGAGGGAGGAGACAGGAAACACCAGAAGGAACATGGATGGATCTGGCCTATTCACAGGAAGGTTTCCAGGTTAGACTTAAAATCATATCCACAGGGATCTGTGGCTTGCCCTTTCTGCCTTCTGGATAGCATCCCAACAGGTCCCCTACTTCCTACTAGATCAAATTGAGTGATAGTCTCTTCTGGGGCACCAAAAGTCACCACATGGTGACACCAAATCACCAAAGTGTTTTGCAATCAATATAAAGTCATTTATTTTTAAATTAGCAATAAAATAATCAAGTTTACATTTAAAAAAATACAAACAACAAAAGCCCTTCACATGTGACATTCGTTTCGAACTTATATCCCCCCGAACTCATGGTCAGAGGAGAGAGAAGGCCTGCACTGAGGGTTATCTCCTCTCCTAGCTGGGGCCCTTGTCCAGTCAGACATCACAGCCATAGGGAGGAGGGCATCCCTGTGGCTCTGTCTTGAGTGCTGGGTGATGAAGAAAGAGCCTTTACAAAGGAAGCTCATGGGCAGGATCTGGATTAGAATATTCACCCTGCCCCACAAAAGTTGGGTCTTAATTATCCAATTAGGGATACTGGCAGGAACCACCAAATGTGTAAGGCTTACCACTGGGTTGCAATCACTAAATAGACTTCCAGGCTGTTGCCTCCATGGTAAGACTCGCAGGAGACAAGAGAGCAGGAAGAGCTGCTCTGTAGCCTCCCAAGTCTCCTGCCAGAGAGGGACATCACATGGATAGTGCAGATAACCTCAGGTAGCTGCGGGATGCTCTCTGGACCACTCTCTTGTAGGCAGCAGATGGGAATAAATAAATATTACGCTATCTGTTATGCAGAAAAATTTAATGGGAATCAACTCAGTCCTTACTCCAAAGGTCTCATTTGATTCCCGTCTCAGCAGCCATGCAGAAAACAAGCTCTGGGCTGGCAAGGGGAAATCACATTTCTACAGTGATCACTTGAGCTAGACACATGTCCCTTACTGATTTTCGCCAAAGTCTGTTGTTTACCTTCTCACTTTTTTCTTTCTTTCTTTCTTTTGAGAACATAGTAGTTCTCCTAGAGGCAGACAAATATGTACATATCTCTCACATACAATTATAAAAGTACACCTGGAACACACAAATGACTGACACTTTCAGAGCCTGAGACTGTAGCACCTTGTCCCTGGCCCAGTTGTAAATCCCTGGTTCTGCTTGGCCTCAAAGTAATGGCTTCACGAAGAAGGATTCTCTAACAATGATTAGCCAGTTTCCAAGACTCGGACGTGGAAGCGTATTCCATAACCTCAGTCTCTGCCAACGACAGCTTCAGAGGACTGTCACCCTGATCACTGAGTAAACGAGCGAATACGGAGAAAATTCAGAGTGGCCTGCAAGCTGAACTGGGAGCTTAATTAAAGGGTGGGTTTCAAATAAGTCAACTTAGAAGGCCAAAATGGCATCTGTTAGTTCCCCGTGCTTTTAGGACATAGGACAACAAACTAAGGACTGGCATCTTGCCAGCTAGGGGCTCTGATCCAAGCCACACTACTGACAACCTTAGAAGAACCCCTCTATTTAGTTAGTTACTCCCCTACAAAGTATATTCAGAAGGTTCTATGAGGTAGAAAAACAGCGCCTCAGGCTGGTCTCACGGGGCAGAACTGACAGAGCAGAAGGGAGGAAAAGCCGGGCGCCTCACACAGTCCAGGAGGGAGGGTGCTTCAGCTGCTAGTGTGGGAGGTGATTCTGAGGAGAACTCAGGGCTGCACCAGGTAGGTTAGACTCCTCCAGGGGTAGGTTGCTGAGCCAGGTCCAAGGGCGGTTACAGGGAAATAAAGGAACAGGTGCCCTCGTTCTCAGAAAGGCCGTTAGGACGCCATTCCCATCTGGAGACAAGAGTGATCAGGCCAAGCTGGAGTGAAATCAGGTTCTAAGAGAGGTGGGGAGAAGGGGGCAGATCAGTACACAGGACAATGCTAAAAAACAAGGAATTAGCCACAAACCCCAAATGTGGAGATCAAAGATCAGAAATGCCTACAAAAAAAAAGCATGCAGAAGGAAACACTAAACTGAAATGGCCCAGAAACAAACCTAAGGCTGGACATGCGAAATAAAAGATCTGTACGGCGAAAGAACCAATAAAGACTCTAGGGCAGTGGTTCTCAACCTTCCAGTGCTGCAACCTTTAAATACTGTTCCTCATGTTGTGGTGACCGAACCCCAAACAAAATTATTTTTATTACTACTTCGTAACTGTAATTTTGCTAGAATTGTAAATATCTGTGTTTTGTCATGATCTTTTGGGGGCTGCAACCAACAGGTTGAGAATCACTGCTCTAGGTAAAGGAACCATGGTGGTGGTGGTGGAGGGGTATACCAACAATAGAATTCATGTACCATGAAAGGAGAACAGAGAGCTACTGGGGTTGGGGATCCAGCAGGAGGCAGGAGGATCCAGGGTAGGAGGATTAACAAAAAATACAGACATGACGTAATGAACCCCATTACTTTGTATACTAATTTTAAAAGTATTTCAGTTATTTAAAAGTAAGACCAAGAAATATCTAGGCCACGTATAAGCCTTTGTGCCACAGACTAGCACCTGTAGAAGGACATGGGATACACAATCACTAGTTGAAAACACCAGTCCTCTGCCTGGCACATGGGAGCTCTTGAATTCAAGCTTCAGAAGCATCCTATATCCAAATCCTCTCCCTTCACATAAGAAGGAGACAGGCACAGTCAAAAAAACTGGAAAATCTCAGGTGTTATACTATGACTGTTTCATCTTAGAAGTGATTTAAGAGTGGGCAAGTTTCTCCAGTAGCTTTCTGGAAGTTAGGGGCACGGAATGCACCTTGGCACTATGGCCGGCATGCGACTGCAGAATGTAAACACAGATTGCCCTCCGTCATGAATTGGCATGGAAGACCGGTAAGCCAAGACCCAGGTGCCAATCAACCTTGCCTTTACTAGGAAATACTGAACACGCAATAAGCCATGTAACTTCAGAGCAACTTAATGCTGTGCAGTCTGGTTAGTCTGCAAAAAGTAATATTATCTTCCTCAAAAATGCGTCTTCTACATTCTGAATTCTAGGAACGAGGGTTAAGAGGCATCAAGAATTTGCAAGGCATCTTTCATCTGAGGATATGGAAAGATTACATTAATTTTTATTACTTTACCATATTTTGCATTGAGATAGTCAAGACTGAACAGAAGACTAAAACTTTATAAATAATCAAGGACTATAATGCTGCCAGGAAAAAAAGAGAAGAGATCAAAAGAACCAACGAGAGCTTGATTGCCTCCCTGTAAAGCTGAGCATCTGAGATTTAATAATTGATCTCAGACCCTCCAGTGACATGGAAAGAAGGAAAACGCAGTGGCGCACTAGGGTGGGACAAAGTGAAATGCAAGATCAGCCCCAGCGTCAACATCCAAGCCTGCACCAGCTCCCAGAGAGGCTCATGCCTATTACCTCAGTAATCTAATTTCTGAATTTATAGAAAAAAGAAAAGAAAAATACAAAGCTCATCACATTTAATGACAGCAAAATACTATAAACTCCAGCACTGAGGAAATGTTAAATGTCCTCATGTTGAGAATTAGATTTACAACAAGATTTTAGTGATAAAGAGTGACTTTATGATTTCCTACCTAGGTAAAAACACTATATATTAATACAGTGTGAACTATGCAAAACGGAGAGTGTGTGAGCCTGCCATGTGTTTGGACAAATAATATTACAAATAATATTCACCTGCCTATATCTTACAAGCTTTTCAAAATGATACTCTGTTTTATTCAGAAAAAAATAAAGCTCTTAAGTCCCAAGGACTACTAGGTCATTTTTCTCATGATCACTGAAGTTAAGCCTAATTTACTGGCCAGCTATATCTTAATAAATTTTGATTGATAGCCTAGAGTTCTCTGGACTTTATAGACAATGATAAACAATACCTTATTTTATGAAGGGAAACTAGGATGGAGCACCTCCTAGGCCCACTATAAGCTGTGTGAGTTTGGCCGTTCTCTAAGACTTGAGTTTTTCTACTTCTAAAATAAAATGACCTGCCTCATAAGAATGTTGGAAGGATTCTGTTATATGTATAAGGTGTTTAGCAGACTCACTGCTATGAGTCAACACTTAAAAATGTTACAGGTACCTCATTCAAGAGCCAGTCATTCAGCCACAAACATAACTCTTAAGGGCCAGAAGCCACAGCATAAAGCTTCAGATATGTTTAAAAGGACAAGGAAAGCTGAGCCCAGCATCTATGACGGCACTGAGGATTTAGAAGACATCTCCCAGATCATACCCAACATCTACCTATGCTTTCTACATACAGACAGTCAAAATGAGATGCCCAAGTATGCCAAGCAAGAAGACAAGGTAGGAACAGAATATTCAGGCTGCTACACACAAACAGAAGGCGTGACCACGATCCTATAGCTACAGCCAGAACCTAAGAATGGAATTTTAAGAACATGAAAAACAATCAAGACCGTGACTGTCATTAGAAAAAGAGCAGAATCAGGAAATCCCAGACCAACTCCGCAGGAGGAGTCCTACAGAGCCCCCAGAACCACTCATCTACTTACATTTCAGTGCAGCGACCCCGTAGGCCACTCTACTTCAGCCCAACGGACAGTCCAATAATCAATGCTAAAATGCCCAGCAACACAACTACTATCACAATGATAATTATCAATTTCTGGAGAAAGGAATAAGAAACAAAAATAAAATCATTACAAAAAAGTTTATAAAATAGCAACTCATCTAAAATTTAGCCCTTCTCATCTCCTTTACCAAGGAAAAAATTTTCCTCAATCCAAATAAAAAATACACATCTCTGTATAAAAATTTTCTCATGTACATTTTACATTCCTTAAATTCCTTTTTGCCTAGCCAGTGAATTGAAATGTGGAATGCCTACAGCTCTCAGTTCATAGGCTTGCATATGTGCACTCATGGCAAGCTATATCATGAGGTCTCCAAGCAGCACGTGACCAATCCATAAAACATATGTTTGCCTTTTCAACAGGGAGCACAAAGGTATCTCTGACATAGTCCTAATTACCAACTTGTATTCATCTGTCCCCTTAAAAGTCCAGTATATACCTCAGACTACATATACTATAGGTGTCCAGAGTGCAATTTAGCATAGATTCAGAAAAAAAAATAATTTTCCAGTTCCCTGAATAGCTGCAGAAGCAATAGGAGCAGTTGGAAGAGAAAGAACAGCTGGAAGAGAAAGCAGTTGGAAGAATAAAAATATCAGAGCCCAAGAGAAACAAAGAAGAGTAAAGAGCAGAAGTTGCCATGGATGGATGTCCACAGTCAGTGAGGACAGAAGCTTCGAAGTTATTGAGCACAGGGCCAGGAGAGCAGGCAGACACAAAGATACAGTGGAAAGAGTATGAGTAGGCTGTGAATGTCAAGCTCATCTCCTGGACTGCTGGGTGGTCTGAAGCCAGCTACTGACCCTCTGACCCTCAAATTGCTTCATTCAGAAGTATAAAGAAAGGAAGTGCTTCCATGAATGAAAGGTAACTTTTACATAACAATTAGCATCTGTGCTAGGTTTAAGTTAGAGAAAAAGAAAAAGAATGGTAGGCCAGGTGGAAGAGGCTACCAAAGATCCGAGGATCTGCGTGATGTGTTAAGGGTTAAGAAGCTACATTCAGGAGATTAGTGACAAGACCTAGGCCATGTCTCCAGTCTAAAGGGGTGCTGTTGTTTCTTGGGACAAAAGCATGTGAGAGCCAGATCCATGCAAGGTACGCTGGGAAGGAAGTCTCTAGGAAAGACTAAGGTAGAGGTTTGGAAGGAGTAGGACAGAGAAGGACATGGGCTCAAGGACAGAGGCATAAAGGTGACAGAAGACAGGAAGAGACAGGCGCTCACCCTCCGGGCTTCACTCTGATACTTGACAGCCTTTTTGGTATCTGCCACAGCCCGCTCCACAAAGCCCACTGACTGGTCCATGTTGCTCTCAATACGGTCAATCATGGCTCCCTTTCCCCAGATGCAGGATGTGGTGGCAACAGAAACAGACAGGAGGGGAGAGAGAAAGCGCAGTAGCAAACAAAATGGACTCTCTTGTCTCAAGACAAAAAGAAAACCTCACCTTCCGAGCCTGACTCTGATACTTCATGGCTTTCTTAGTTTCATCCCGTGCCTTCTCCACATGGTCCACAGTGTGCATGACATTTAACTCTATGTTATCTAACATCTCACCCTGAAAAGGAGACACAAGCCACACCTGTTAACCCACTCACAACAGCCCCAGCGAATGTGGTGAAGGGACTCACTAGTCTTCCATGCTAAGTCACACACAGAAACCTTAGGGCACAGCCTTCCATCGAGCAAGCTTCCCGTTTTCCCAGATGACCTGTAGTCCCCAGTCCCTGTGCGGCCACTCATTCTATAAACACTGGATTACTTCCTTGAGATCAGTGCAGTTTTTCTAGAGGCTTAGTGACTGTGTAAATATACACAAAACATTCCCTCTCTCACAGTTTTCTTTCATTTCCTTATCTTTTAAGCATAAAGGGATGGACCAAAATAAGAAAATCTCCTATTTTCAGAATATCCCCAGGATGCTGGCCCCTTCTTGGCCATTCAAACCCAAACCAAGTTCATTCAGCCTAGAGTGAGTTTATGCAGTACTGTAAAACAGCACCTGACACATAAAAGGTAATCAGGAAGTATCAGGCTGGCCACAGTAGAAAGTACTTATGCTCTTCAAGAGAAATTCCCAAGTTCCTTAGGCAGTAAGTGTTGGGTTTACCCCTGCTCTCTTCCCCTCTAGACACTAGTCTATTAATAAGATTCCCAATTGTTTCCCAGCTTTTACTTCCTCTGAAGGATGTTTGCCCACTCAGGTTACTCCCTGAGAATCTGAAGTAGGGTACGCCCCTCCCTCACCCAGACCTTTCCCAACCCCATCTTATCACCATAGGGCTCTCAATAAACAGAGCAAGGCACTTACCATCACTTGAAACTCAAACCAGATCCTCAGCAAGGCAATGTGGTGGGGAAAAAAGAAAAGTGGGAATAGAGGGATTGAGAAAGGGTCTCAAAGGCCAGAAAGAAGAATGGGAGAAAAGCACCACAGCAAGGGGCAGAGAACTATTAAAATCCAGTCAACCAGTGCTGGGGCTTTGACGAGGTTCAGTGGTCTGCCCACTAAGCAGGAGTTTCCAATTCTGTCCAGATGGCTGAACAGCTGGAAGTTCCTGATGGAAGCCACACAGCACTGTGACCTCTGCATGATGTCTAATTCTATCCCAAGACCCAGGGACAAAACATCCAACAGACATGAAGACCATCTGCAAGCAATATCAAATGTCGCCCCTGAACAGGCAGGCATGCCTTGGGATGAACTGTCCAGTCCTGTGTTTCTATAAATATTCTTTCCCTAATTCTTCCTTCATGCCTACTGTTGAGTCTTAGCAAAAAGTGCCAACATGCTCAGCAAAAGACAAATATAAAAACAAAACAAAACTGGAAAAACTAAGTTCTATGGTGAATTGGAGGAAAAATTTTTTCAATAAAATTATTTGCTATCAGTAGGCTGAATGTCAAAGCTTTGTCAGCAAGACTTAACTTTTTTTAGGAAGGGTGGATCCCAGGCTGCCCCTCAGACTTGTTCTGTATTGGAAGATAACCTTTAGCTCCTGATCGGCCTGCCTCCATCTCCCAAGCGCTGAGATTATAGGTACATGGTGCTATGCCTGGTTTATGTAGATCTGGGCTAGAAGACGGCTTAGATCCAAGGCCTCATGAGTGCTAGGCAGGCATCCTGTCAACTGAACGATACATTCCCCAGCCAAAGAACCCATGTCTTTACAGGAGGAGGGAGAGGGAGGAAGGGAGAAGCAGGAGACAAAAAAAGATGCTGAGTGAACCATGTTCTTATCATGATATAGGAAACTTCATTACTAACTAGAATCACTGGGAACCGAAGTGACAGGCTGAAATAACAAGACTGAAATGGCTTAAATGCCAACACCTGATAAGAATGTACACCTCTGCCTCAGACACTTGAATTCTATTGCTCCATGGTGAAAATTCCCTCTTCCCTGCCTCACTGAACCTCCAAAATATCACCTATGGTTCTCAAGGTAAGGTGTGCTTTTCCCCTGCCAGCTACCTGATTCTCCACCAGCATGGCGATGTCCATAAACATGTCATGGAGCTCCTTGATGCTGCTCTCCAGCCTCACGATATCCTTGTGCCGACCCTCAATCTCACTGAGGGCTTGCTTGGAAATCTGCGAGTCGATGATCTACAACAGGCCCCATAGAGACAGGCCATCAGCGGGGCACTAGTAACAGACTGCCCCTGCAGAGCCCCCCCACCCTGCATAAGCTCCGCCCCTGCTCAGCTGCAACTTCAGTGAAGTCAAGGCCATGAATCTCCCCCATGACCCTCGCTGTCCATGGTGCCACGGTCACTCACCCCGGAAGTGAAGATGGAAGGGTTACCACTCTCCAACATCTCTTCCAGCTCCTCATCTGTTGTCTTCTTGCCAGCTTGGTAACAAAAGAAATAAACATCGAGTAGAAGATCAAAGCACAACTCCATCTGAAATTCCCTCCCAAACAAGCGCTGTCTCCAACAACCGACTGACTCTCCTGATTCCTCTCCCAATTCAACCCATCCTTAACACCATCAGCAGCCAACCCCCACCCTAAGCACGTACCCCGTTACTTCTCAGCTCAGACTGCTTATTAGCCCCAACCACCATACCTCAGAGCCCAAGGCCCTCATGACAGGGCACAATTTCTGGGCAGCCCTCCCTCCACTTTACACTGCGGCTTCAAACACACCCTTCGTCCAACCATGGACAACTTGCCACTCCTAGACAAACACATCTGCTTTCTCTTGATAATATCTTTGCTCACACAGCTTCCCCCACTTGAAGCCATTTTCCTTGTGAGGCCTACCCTTCCACATCACTAAATTCCTAAACAATGTAACTTTATTAATTTTTTAATTCCTCACAGCAACTAGCACTACACCTTTGTGTCATAAAATGTACTTTTCCATTTAGCAGCAAGACGATGCAATGAGTTCTCAGGAGAGCGGCTCTTTAGTGGGTGTCCCCTGCAGGCGTAAGTATTGGATCCCATAAGAATAAAATTCCTTGGCTCAACAAATGGAACACCTTCCAACCTAGGATACCATATGGCAGATACACCAATGCCATAGCATCTGCCCTGGGTTTGAGCACCAAATAGAATGCAGAAGGCACAAGCAGCAGGATCACAGTTGCTTCTCCCAGGACTTGGGATGAACAACCACATAGCAGGAAAAGATAGAGATAGACACTGGCCCAACTTCAAACACGTACTAATTTCAAGCTGCCGCTGGATGCGCCCTTTGCTGCGTTCACGGAAGTCCACCTGAGCCTCGTTGTACTTTGTCATCACCTCCACAAACTTCCGGGAGAGGACGGAATGCTACAGAAACAAAGTCAAATGAGCGGACCCCAGGAGATGGTGGACAACTCTGCCCCACCCCAGCACAGCCTAGTCTGCAGCAGCCTGGGCTTGAAACCCAAAGACAAAATGCAAACCCAGTGTTGCTCTCCTAGTTGGGTGTTTTGGGAAGAGTCCACTGCCACTTTCAATGTAGCCTCCACTATCCGTTTCCCCCTTTACTGAACTCGCATTGTAACTGTTAGTCAAAAGGAGAAATCACTGAGAACCTGGGAGCCCAGCAGCAATGCTCCACCAGAGCCCTGGCTGATGTCACTCACCCTTCCCACATGTAAAAGACCCTGAAGTTCTTACCCCAGCTGATAATCTCAACCTTTCTTGCTTACAAATAGACATTTTTCTCTCAACAGACTTTTATGATAATCTTAATTCCTTGCCCACCTCACAGCAGCAAGCCCTACTGATGCCTTTTTTTTTTTAAACAAATGCACTACTTTCTTGTAAATTCAGACAAAATCATTGCAAAAGCATAAGAGCCTCCCAACCTCTTGCCTCTTCCCCACTCACATCCAAAAGGCTATTAAACCCCCCCTAGCATGCTGTGTGGCCTAAAAAATGACTGTCAGCTACTGAATCTGATCCAAATTCCCTCAACTAGTAAAGCCCTTTGGAGGGTGATGCTACATTCTCTGCTGGAAGGTCAGCATCTGTTACCCAGCAACAAATTCTTTTCTCAAGACAGGCTATTCCCATTACTCAACCTTCTGCCGCTGCCGCCATCTTCCCTGCCAGTGCCACCACGCCTCTGCTGCTGCCAACACGCACGTGTACAAACATACTCATCCCTGATCCTATTTCTTATTTCCTCTCAAAAAAGGGAAACTCTGCCTCTGAGCCTGTCTACAGAGGCACTCTTGCTTCCCCGAGGCCCAGTCTTCCCTAGTTACCCCCAGATCTCCATGAGATCTTTCAGTGACGAGTGAACATACACTCAATTATGTCTTCTTCCATTGTTTTCCTGCTAGGCAGCATTTACTCTACCACTTAAACATCATATCAAGCTCCTCCCTTTTTTTCCTGTATGTTTTTTACTTTTTAGTGTTCTCACACTATAGCTCAGGCAGGGCAGCCTTGTAGTCTTGACAGTCCTCCTGCCTCAGCCTCCCAAGTGTCGGGTTATGCTTTGTGTCAGTTCTCATAGAACAAGGACCGTGTTTCAATGGCTCCTAAGTGAACAACTACTAACAATAGTCTTCAGAAGAAAGACATCAGTTTCTCTGCCTATAAAACAAGGAGGCGCTGAGGCTGAGCTCTGAAGAATCTAGGGAAGTACTTTAAGTGCCTCCTTCTGAGTGTGAGAGAAGGCCAAAAGGGAACAATGGGCCCTGAGCACTGCTTCCACCTGGATGCTTCCCTTTTCCCAGTTCCTCAAACTGAGTTCCAAAACAACAGAATCATACCATTTTTTAATGCACAATAGCAAAAAATAATTAAGAGTGGCAAAAAATGACTGCTAAACCAGAAACAAAGTTACCTGGGACTTTCGGATCCTAAGGTCTGCTGAGGACCGGACCTCATCTTCTTCAATATGCTTCTCCATACCTGGAGTGAGAGAGTTACCCTAGCAACACATCCATCCTTCCTCCCGCACAGCATCCTATCCATGCAGATTCCTTACCCATCCTCACACACAGGGGCCATGAAGGTGGTCAACAGGGAGGTACAACTGCAAAGACCTAACATCTACTCCATGAGCTGGACACTTGCTCTCATCCGCCTATGTGATTACCAAGTCTCTGCAACACAACTAATAGTGCAGTTCAGGCCATCAAGGGACTGAGGCGCTCACCCTTACCCAGCCACGGACTAGCAGTTTAACACGGGGAAAACCTTGTAACCTCTTTCAGCCACCTGTCCTCTTGTAAATAAAATGAAAGAGGTAGCAACACAAACTGAGCACCCTCCATGTGAAATGCTTAGAACCAGGAGCGTCTCAGATTGTATCTAAATGTGGAATATTTGCATAGACAGAGCAGACACCTTAGAGCTTGGAGATAATTTCGCACTATCTTTCTAGGGCATGTGGGAGGTCAGGTGTGAAATTTCTACTTATGGTGTCGTGAATGCTCAAAACATTTCAGATTTTGGAATATTTTTAATTTGGAAATTTTAGATTCAGGACACTCAACCTGAACCTCTTTAAAATACCAATGCAAAATTGAAATAGACTGTTTAGCGCAGGGACAACCACATTATCACTATTTTCAGAAGCTGTCTTCCTCTCCATACCCATTAAAATAACTGTTGTAATTTATTGGATACAAAAAAAAAATAATAATACTTTCCTCTCTGACCAAAAATACATACTCAACAAGTACTCTGAATGGGAACATAGATTTCAGCTGTGGAAATAAGCAAGTATTTGGGGTTTCCAGTTCTATGATAGTGGCTTTACTCAGCTGTGCTCCAAAACCAGGGCAGAAGTTAGGAACGAGAAGGTACGCAGTAAGAAGTGTCTGCCGGCTGAATGACAGACCTGTAAGTCTCTGCAGTTACCTCTCAAAGGCACATGGTGCTGGGGAACCGGTAAGAAAGAATGGAAGGACTAGCTAAAATAATAAAATGATACAGTGGAAAGCACAAATATTTTGTTTTTGTTTGGGCTGGGTTTTTGTTTTTTGTTTTGTTGTTGTTTTGTTTTGCTTTTAAAGACAGGGTTTCTCTGTGTAACAACTCTGGTTGTCCTGGAACTCATTTTGTAGCCCGGGCTGGCCTCAAACCCAGAGATGCGCCTGCCTCTGCCTCCTGAGTGCTGGGATTAACGGCACACACCACCACCGCCGTAGCTTGGAAAGCTCATCTTAACTCCCTCTTCCTAACTTCAGTTCTGCAATTTTCAACTACAGTGAGAATTCAAGAGGCAATAAATATCTAAGGATATAGTAGGTCAGTCCAGGAGCAGTGCCCAAGCCTCCAGTAAGAATGGGACAAGTGATGTCACCCCCATTGAGATGACTGACAGATAAGAAGTGAGCCCTGGGAAGCTGCATCTGGTTGTGGTGGAGACTGGCTTATTCCTGTGTTCCCTTCTTACTCTTCAGCTTGTTCCGGACATTGTTGGCCCTCTTCTTGATCTCAGTTGTGAGCTGTTCAAGGTCATCTTTGGTTTCTGGAGAAACAGAAGAGGTAGACTTGGTTAGAAAAGAGGACACACTGCTCTGTGAGTTACAAAAATCAACAGCAAGGCAGAAGCTTTCTCAGACACCCGCTGGCACCATGATCTCAGTGTGCTTTCCAGAATCCACCACCACGGTCACAGGAAGATGGTTTGGTTTTTTCTTTTTTTTCTTTTTCTTCTTAAAGCACTTTCAGACTAAGGGAAGGCACGTGGTAGATCACATGCTAGCATGCACCAAGCCCTGGGTTCAATCCCTCACATCCAAAATAAATTACTAATTAACTAAATCAAAAGGCACTTTCCAGGCACCCCACCCCAGACCTAAAGAACCAAATACCCCAGGGTTAGAGCTTAGGATCTGCTTTACTTAATAAGCCTCCCCAATCCAAGCCACGCTTTTAGAGGAGTCAACTTGCTTGCCATGTATGCTCAATCTCAGGTGAAAGGAGAGGAGTTTATGGAAGTTCTGGGGAAAAGAAATTTCAACCAAAGCCCACCAACTTTAATGAGGCAGGTATTTCTGATGTATCTACTACATGCCCAGAGCTGACCCAACTGATGCATGGAGCACCATACTCTGGTGGGGCTTACGGAACAAATTAAACAAGAGCTATAACCCTTCATTCCAGAACCATCATTCAGTTCCATTCATACTTGGAACTGAGAAACTAAGGGATCAAGGAAAAGCTACAGATTCCACCTTCAAGGGGCTGAGCCTGGCAGGAGATGAATAGGGAGTTGATCAGAAGTCTTGATATATAGCACAAGGTAAGGTATAGTTTAAGTTCTGAGCAAGATGTACATGGGATGGTTATGGAGAATCCCTAGCACAGCTCAGGGATCCAGAAGAGCCCCCTAAAAGGCAGAGACAGGAGAACTGTGTTTCAACAACAACAGAAAAATAAAAAAATAAATAAAAATAAAAAAAACTACAGGTTAGTAAATGGTAAAAGAGTTAGTTAGTTAGTTAGTTAGTTAGTTAGTTAGTTAGTTAGTTAAAAAAGAAAAATTGTAAGTTAGCTATGTAGCCAAGGGGACTAAGAGCAGAAATCCCAAGGAGAAAGCATGATATATAAAGAACATAAGGGAAGCCGGAACAGCCAGAGGTTAGCATGAGGGAAGTACCAGCAGGATGGAGCAGGGGTGGCAGGAGAAAGGTGGAGAGGAAGGTGGGAACATGAGGAGACAATCCCCATATGCTCAGGAACTGGAGAGCCACTGAGCAAAATAAGGCAGGGAACAGGAGCAGACAGTCTGCATTTCTTAGGAACATAAAAGACAGGGAACTCACCAAGGCCAGCTGGCCTGGATCTGAAAAAGCCTGGGTTAAAACAGGTCTCACTGAACATAGCGGACAAGGAGGACTACTGAGAACTCAAGAACAATGGCAATGGGTTCTTTGATCCTACTGCACGTATTGGCTTTGTGGGAGCCTAGGCAGTTTGGATGCTCACCTTACTAGACCTGGATGGAGGTGGGTGGTCCTTGGACTTCCCACAGGGCAGGGAACCCTGATTGCTCTTTGGGCTGACGAGGGAGGGGGACTTAACTGGGGGAGGGGGAGGGAAATGGGAGGCGGCAGTGGGGAAGTGACAGAAATCTTTAATAAATAAATAAATAAATAAATAAATAAATAAATAAATAAATAAATAAATAAATAAATAAATACAGTACTAAGCTGTATTCTGCAAATATAAAACACCCAAGGGAACAAAAGGCTGCCTCAACAGCAGGAACAAATGCAAGGAAGAGACAGAAGGGACTTCGCTAACTCTCAGTCAAAAGAAAGAATGCAAGCCAAGTCACAGAGCTGGGACAGGGCTTGGGGTATAAGAGGAGCATTACCAGTCATGAGCGGTTTGACCCGGGAAGTAGAGGAGTTTGAATGGTTCAAGTGGGACTATGGAGAGGAGACCTGGTGGAGGCTGGGAACGAGAGCTTGGGAAGAGAGAAGAGAGGTGATCTGTGATGTGATATGTACATTAGCACGAGGGGATGGATACACCCCACTGCTGTTCCCAGAAGGGAGGAGAGCAGGCCTGTCTCAGCCCCAGTGCAAAGGGTCAGTACAGGGTGACTCAACTCAGTCAACACTCACTTGGCTCTGGAATCGGTGCAGACAGAATGATACTGTAGAGTTTCTTAGCTTCCTCCACACTTTCTGAGATCTTGTCAATGTTGAGTCGAGTTTCCTCAATCTATAATCAGAAAGACAACATAGGAAAAAGAGTCCACACCTGAGAATAAGGCTCAGCAGCGCTTCCTGCTGCAAGCTGTCCATCTTCTACGTTTGTGGAAGAGGATGAAAAAAAGGCCCAGGAAGTGCCATGCCCACTGTCGAGGAAATTGGTCTATAAAGAACTGTCATTACAATCCACACTGCTCCTCCCTGGGAGGAAAGTAATCACTCACCTCGAATAGCAAGGTTCAGATCAGAGTCAAGAAGGTCAGGGAACCCATGGAGAATAACCAGGAGAGACAACTGTTGACGTGGGATTCCCCTCTGAATGCTGTGACTACGTTTCATTACCACTAGTTAATAAAGAAACTACTTTAGCCTATGGTAGGACAGAATATAGCAAGGCAGGAAATCCAAACAGAGATAGAGGGAGAAAAAAAGGCAGAGTCAGGCAGACACCATGTAGCTGCTGAAGGAGAAAGATACCAGAATCTTACCACTATACCACAAGCCAATGAGTTAATTTAAGATGTAAGAGCTAGCTAGAAATATGCCTGAGCCATCAGTCAAATTAATTAATACAGTTTTGTGTGACTATTCGGGTCTGGGTGGCCAGGAAACAAAAAGCAGTTCCTGTTTACAATAGTTCCAATAGTTTATGGTTTTGTGATAAAGCACCATCAGCAACAGTACACATCAGCTCCATCCACAGGCACAGCTGTCTGGGCACCATGGCCCCTGACACAGATGTATAGAGGGGGCAGCAGATGCAGAAGAAACCTCAGCACCCACTGTGCCTCTCTGCCTTATCCCAAAGTGAAAGGGACATCAGCACTGCAACAATTAACCAACATGAAATTGACCACAACTCCTTATCCGGAGCCTTTTTATACAGTGAATAGAAGCATTGCTGATGAAATAAGCCAACCCAAAAGCAGGCTTTTCAAATCACCACTAAATTTGAGGCTAATGCATCCCTTGTGCCTTTTTACTATCTGTTGAGGTTTTCAGACTATTTACCAAGGATCTGTCAGCAATATGAGACCCTCGATAATACAACTTTAAAAATTAGTATCAGACAGCACAAGTCCAGGGTTCAGCTCCACCTCTTAGCATTTTATGACCTTGAACAAGCTTACAGCACATTAAGTACATAATAACAGAATGTTAGATGATAACAATAAATACCAACAGCAATAACAACTGCTCGTTTATTATATGCCAGGCACCAGGCTGCCCTTTAAAAGTATGTCTCATTGAATCCTACAGCAATCTTAATGTAGCCACTCACAAAAATCTAAGAACATCAAGTCACCTACTCCTGATGGTAGGTGCTGCCAATTAGAATCACCACATGATATTAACCACAGTCATCTCACTGTAAGGAGCAAGTTATATTTGTCTGTTTCCATTTCCACGCTTAAATGTGTGTTATGCGTACTTGCGTTTGCAAGAGTATGAACACATACGGGTGCAAATGCATATGGAGGCCTGCGGTATATGTTGGGAATCATCCTCAATCCCTATGACACCTTATTCATTGGGGCAGGGTCAATCAAACCCAGCATCCATGGACATGGCTGCTTACTCTAGGGATCCCTATCTCTGTCTTCTGAGGCTTAGAATTACAAATGGATAACACGCCTACTTGGCATTTGCATGGGTCCTGGGAATCTTCACACTTGCATGGCAAGCACCTTAACCACTGAGCCATTTCACAGGAGCAAGTGGTAGTTATTTTGAAGGCATCAATGGCCTCTTCTCCTGAACCTAATTCTCCAATGGAATTGAAATGACAGAAAACAGAAAGTCCCGGCAGACTGTGGCTAGGTGAGTTAAAAGGCAAAACGAGATGTTTTCTTCTGCTGCTTAAGAACTAGTCTTTGCCTCTCCTAAACTCCTAAGTCCCTAAAGGGTTTTTATCATGACTTAGTTTTTCAGCTTCCTTTTATGGAAGTATGGGAGTATAAAAGGTATGATCTCAGAAATGGACTGACCAATAAAAAAAAAACAAGTTTTCTAAGAAAATATTCTCAAATCAACTAAGCCAAAACACTAATCTTCCCTAATCAGAATGTCAATCATAAAAAAGAACAAGCATGGTGGATAAAGGAAATACACTGTGGGTAGGATGTAAATTAGCACAGCCACTATGGAAAACAGTATGGCGGTTCCTCGAAAAGCTAAAATCAGAACTGGTATACGACCCTGCTGCACCACTCCCGCAATTACACCTAGAGGAAATGATGTCAGCACGCAGTAGAGACAGCTCACACCCATGATGACAGTTACCAAGACAGAAAATCAGCCTAAATATCTGCCAACTGATGAACAGATTCTTAAAATGTATGCATATCAGAATACTGAGTCATAAGGAATAAAATACTGTCATTTATAGGAAAATTGATGGAACTAGGGGTCATTATGTTAAGTGAAAAAAATCATGTTAAAGCAGTCTCAGAGAGTCAACTAGGTATGTTTTCTTTCAAACAGAATTTATATATACACACACATAAACACACACAACACACACACACAGAGAGAAGAGATGAAGCACTACTAGGAACTTAGAAGAAGGACCAAGTAGGAAAGGAAGGGCATAGTAGGAAGGTGGCTTCAAACAGAGTACAGTATACAGATACATGTCATACTATATGCTAGTCTATATATTGTATACATTTTACTGTAGCTCAAGCAAGAAAGGGCAAAGTGCAGGAAAGGAAATGGGACAGAGAGGTCAAAAGTAAATCGCCAAGTGACCAGCCAAGGCTTCCTGCCTCACTCCTGGAAGATTCTTGAAATCAGAATCTACCAGTTTGCCTACTTCCCTCTCATACAAATGCCCTACTGAAGGAGTTAAGAAGTTCTCAGCCTGTGGCTTTGACCTCATACCTAGATTTCTAAATTATAGTCACTTTGAAAGTGACAAAACTCAAGTCCAAGCAGCAGAACCCTGTGCTTCAAGACTGGTCCCTCTGTAGCTCCTACTGCTCCATCCACACACACCCTCCTAGCCAGCTCTAGAGAACCTGGCCTCTTCTGTAAGTAGGACTCAGATGCTTCAAATGCCAACGCTGTGTTTCTCATCTCAGACTAACAGAAAAGACCTCACGATGCCAAATGTGCAGGGTCACTCTCTAAATGTCTGTTTGATGAATGTATGAATACAAGAAGCTTAAAGAAATAAACTTGCTTGAGGTTGTGGGGAAAGGTTCATTTGGTAAAGTGTTTGCCTTGTAAACTTAAGAAGCTGAGTTCAGTTCCCCAGAATTCAGATAAGAACCCAAGGTATAGAGGCATGTCTGTAATCCTAGCACTGGGAAGGCACAGATAGGTAGATGCCAGGTTAGCCTAACTGGTGAGATCTATGCCAATGAAAGACAATTTCTCAAAAGAGGTGGATATTTCTGAGGCTGACCCTGAGGTCATCCTCCAGTCTCCACACACAGATGCACAAATGTGCACAAGCATATGAGGGAGAGAGAGAGAGAGAGAGAGAGAGAGAGAGAGAGAGAGAGAGAGAGAGAGAGAGAGAGAGAGAGAGAGAGAGAGAGAGAGAGAGAGAGAGAGAGAGAGAGAAATATGCTTTGTATCCCCAGCAAAATAGTCTCATTTTCTAAGTGCACCTATAATGAACTGAATGCCGTGCTCCCACACATTCATACATTGATTATTTATTTATTTTTGTTGTTGTTGCTGCTGTTGTTTTGCTTCTTGTTTTTGGTTTTTCAAGGCAGGGTTTCTCTGTAGCTTTGGAGCCTGTCCTGGAACTAGCTTTTGTAGGCCAGGCTGGCCTTGAACTCACAGAAATCCATCTGCCTCTCCCTCCCAAGTGTTGGGATTAAAGGTGTGTGCCACCACCACCCAGCCATACATTGATTCTTAATGTAAAGGAATTTAAATGTGGGGCTTTTGTGGGTTACTAGGTCATGAAGATGGATTCCTCACGAATGAGATTAGCTGTCTTTGTCTATTTCCACTTTGTGGGGCCACAGGAAGCTAAAGTACTCTGCAATTTAGAAGAAGAACCCCAACATAATCTAATAATGCTAGAACCCTGAATGCAAACTTTTAAGCTCAAGAACCAAGCAAGGAAGTTTCTATTATCTACAGGCCATCCAAACTATGTACTTTGTGATAGCAGCCCAAACTAAGGAAGACTCCTCAAAAGAAAGCTTTAATGATACATTTTCCACTCAACCTTGCTAATAAAAGTTCCATGTCAGGTCTGTGAAGAGGTAAACACTGAGAGAGCCTAGAAAGCAAGATTCTTCACTACGGGACTTCACTATGGGCCTTTAGGAAGATAATGTGCACTCTAAATATCTGAGAGATGAACAGCAAAATGGCTCAGCGGGTAAAGATACTTTCTGTCACCCAGGTTAGATTCCTCGGACCCCCGTGGCCAGAAAGAACCAACTCCCTGAAGTCAAGTCGTCCTGTCGTCCTCTGACCTATACATGTGCAGAGGCATATATATATATATATATATATACACACACACACACACACACTAAATAAATGTAATTAAATTAAGAAACAGCAGTATCTTTAAACAAATACATTTCTGACAGGAAAAAAGAAAATTTCTCAAATACATGATCACAGAGGTTTATGGCTTCTTACATTGCCATCCAGAATGAGTATTCTTATTGGCCAAACAGCCACGCCCAACTCCTGCCCTGCTGCTTAGTAACAGTTCGAACCCAACCAATACCACCCTATGGGAATCATTGTATAGCTGATCCCACTTTACAGATAAGGAAAACAGGCCCGGCAGGCTAAAGAACATTCACAAAATCAATAGCTGGTCAGAAGTGAACGGAGATCTGAACCTAAGGATTCTCAGTTCCGAAGCCAGCATTTCTGGTCTTGATACACTCCTGCCCCCTCCCCCATGCTTCTCTTACTCCATATTGCTGCAACTCAACCCTGTAAGGCCCTCTTCATGCCCAAAGTACACATGAATCTGTAGGCACATGTGACTTTACAAACACAAGCCAGTAGCATCTTGTTCTCTCTATCACCACTAGAATTAAGACATTTAGGAAAATTATAAAAAACAACAAATTTCACCAATATGAATCAAAGGCCTAAAGAAGCAATAATTTGGTTTTACTCCTAGCTGTGACCCTAAGGTTGACAATGTATTTATATAATTTTAAATAAGAAAAGACATCATTGAGCTGGAGAGATGGCTCAGTGGTTAAGAGTACCGCCTGCACGTCTAAAGGTCCTGAGTTCAATTCCCAGCAACCACATGGTGGCTTACAACCATATGTAATGAGGTCTGGTGCCCTCTTCTGGCCTGCAGGCATGCATGTAGGCAGAACACTGTATACATAATAAATAAATAAATCTTTAAAAAAAAAAAAGAAAAGAAAAGACATCATTAAAATGTTGTCATGCTTCTTGCTAGCCCCATAATGGCTCCCTCAATCAAAATATCTCTTTCCTTGTTCTCATCCCTATCCATCCTCGATCTCAACTATCCCGTTCCCTCAAGTTCTCCTCCTCCCTCCCCTTCTCCCCTCCTCTTCCTCTTCTGCCCTCCCTTCTCCCCATACTCCCATGCTTCCATGTTTGTCAGGGGACCATTTCTATTTCCCCTTTTCAGGTGGATAAATATATGTTTTCCTTAGGGTTCACCTTGTAACTTAGCTTCTCTAGGGTCATGAACTATAGGCTTGTTATCCTTTGCTTTACAGCTAGTATCCACTTATGAGTGAGTACATACTATGCTCATCTTTCTGGGTCTGGGTTACCTCACTCAGGATTTTTTTTTTTTCTACCTCCATCAATTTGTATGCAAATTTCAAGACATCATTGTTTTTTACTGCTGAGTAGTACTCCATTGTGTAAATGTACCACATTTTCTTTATCCATTCTTTGGTTGAGGGGCATCTAGGTTGTTTCCAAGTTCTGGCTATTATGAATAATGCTGCTATGAACATAGTTGTACAAATGTCCTTGTAGTAGTATGAGGGAGCCATTATGGGGCTAGCAAGAAACCTGACACTAGAGAAATTCCCAGAAATCCACAAGAATGACCCCAGCTAAGACCCTAAGAAATAGAGGAAAGAGTGCCTGAACTGGCCTTTTCCTGTAGTCAGATTGATGAATATCATAAATGTCACCTTAGAACCTTCATCCAGCAACTGATGGAAGCAGAGGCAGAGACCTGCAGTGGAGCACTGGGCTGAGCTCCTGAAGTCTAGTTGAAGAGTGGGAGGAGTGAGAATATGAGCAAAGAGGTCAAGACCATGATGGGTTCACCCACTGAAACCGTTTACCTGAGCTAATGGGAGCTCACCAACTCTAGCCAGACAGGAAAGGAACCAGCATGGGACCAAACTAGACCCTCGTCATATGGCTGGGACAGACTATGGGGCCACTGGCAGTGGCACCAGGATTTATCCCTACTGCTTGTACTAACTTTTTGGGAACTCATTCTCTTTGGATGGATACCTTGCTCAATCTAGATATAGTAGAGAGGGTCTTGGACCTTCCCCAAAGCAATGTGCCTTACCCATTCTGAGGACTGGATTGGATGGAGGAGGGGGATGGGAATGGGAGGAGGGGAGAGAGTGGGAACTGGTATTGGTATGTAAAATGAAAAAAAAAAAGATTGCTTGCTTTCTTTTTTAAAAAATATAAAAAACAACTTTTAAAAAAAGTCATGTACTTAAGACTTCTCAAGTCTATCTTCAATTACATATAATTTACCCTCCACTTACCTTTTAAAAATTGTTTAGTTATTTGTTTATTTAATTTTATGTCTATGAGCATTTTGTCTGCATGTATATGATGTGTACAAGGTGCAAGCCTGGTGCCCACAGGGGCAGAAAGAAGGCACGGGATTCCTGGCATTGGAATTAGACGGTGTGAGTCACCACGTGGGTGCTGGGAATCAACCGTGGCTCCTCTAGAGCAGTGGTTCTCAACCTTCCTAATGCGGTGACCTTTAATACAGTTGCTCACGCTGTGGCGACTCCCAACCATAACATTATTTTCCTTGCCACTTTATAACTGTAATTTTGCTACTGTGATGAATCATCATGTAAATATCTGTGTTTCCCACTGGTCTTAGGTGAACCCCTGCGAAAGGGTGGTTCATCCTGGGGTCCTGACCCCTAGAGTCAGAACTGCTGCTCTTGAAGTACAGCAAGTACTCTTAACCACTGAGCCATCTCTCCAGCCTCTGTCTCCCGACTTCCTTAGTAAGATGTAAAGTCTAGATACTCCCATGAATTGAAAACAGAATCTCCCTGGAACAATTCTGCCTGCCCATCTGTTCCCTTGCCAGCATTGAAAGATCTGAGGTTTGTTTATTCTTACAGAGGAGACTGTGTTTCCTTGTAGACATTCAGGAAAAAAAAAAAAAAACACAGGAAGGCTGCCCACCTCAGAAAAGAACTCATCCATGAAGGCCGTATTGTCGATAGCAATCTCAACGTCGTCAGTGTCGTCATCCTGTGTCAGCTGCTTCTGTAAGAGACCAGAGCAGGCCAGAGTGAGAAGAAAGATACAACCAACAGCCACTGTTACTGACAGAATTATATTTAAGCATACATACACACATAGACAAGATACATAGATAGATGATAGGTGATAGACGCATGCATGCCTATACATCTCTCTCTATATATATAATTATATCATATATAATTTTCTTTAAAATGAATAAAAATTTAATTTGTCTGTAATTAAATCCAAACTCTACCACCTCTTGACTTTGTACAAAGTAGGAAGGAAGGGACAAGCAAGTTACTACTCAGCTTGTTGAGCCTGGGGTTCCTTAACTGTCAAAAACTAATAGCACTATTTTATAAAGTTAGCTAAGAAATAAGTGAGATTATCTGGGCCATAGTACCTTTAAACCTACCCAGTACTGGGGAGGCAGAGGCAGATGGATCTCTGAGTTTGAGGTCAGCCTGGTCTACAAAGCAGTTGGGTAACATCACGGATACAAAGAGGAACCCATCTGCCAAAAAATCATAATAAACAAATAAATGAGATAATGAACTCATAACATCTGCACAGGATCTAGTATGCTATATACTCATCATTAGGGCCTTGGTTGTTCATTTGTCTTGTTTTGCTTGATTTTATACTGGGGGGGGGGGTGTCAAAACCTAGGCCTTCACAGGAACTAGGAAAGTGCTCTGTCACTAAACTCCACAGCCAGACCAACCTTGTTGCTACTAGTGGTAGGATTTCAGTAATTTACTCTAGCTGTAGAACCTAAAACTAAGAAAGGATTAGTAGCAGGCAAATTCTAACCTACAAATGCTGTTTAAACAAGTTCCAAGCAGTTCCTTCAAAGCCTGAGCTGCTGAACCTCACAGCTGGAATAAAGATGTTCCTGTGTTTAGAAACCACCTACTGCAAAGAAAAGCACGCTGTTCCCTATCCAGGAAGGAAGTTCTTCCCCAGGCCCCCTCCACCAACCTCAGAGAGTGCAAACCTTCTCAACCTCATTTGCCTTCCTCCTCAGAATTACAAATGTGCTAAGTAGAAGTGACTCCATTCCCACCCAGCAACAAAAGCCTGATCTGTTTCCACATTCCTCCTGACTGCTCTCCCCCAGACCAGGGCTACACAGGGACTGCTGGCTTCTAAGCACTCAGAACACTGACCTTTGAGAGTGGAGCTGGGGCAGAAGAGCCCCTACACTTGCTTCATCACGCCCTTCAACAGTATACAGCCTTCTCACCATCCTCAACGGCTGGAAACTCCAGGAGCAAAGGAAAGGGCCAGGGCCACACTACCTGTCACCACCCCCACAAATCCAAACAATTTCCACAGAAATTTGTGGCCCTGGGAAATCTCTCCAAGGGTCTTCCCAGCAGCTGATTTTCTGTCTGCTCTGAGACAGTCAGCTCCCAAACTCAATAGCTACCTTCAAGAGAGGGGCTGAATCTGAGGGTCCTCCTACTCAATCTACCGCTATCTCCTAAAAAACTCAACTGATTACATCCTCCTGACACCCAAGATCATATAATGACAGCTTAGCTCCTAGGACCAAAATCCCTCTACCCAAAACAGCACACAAGGGCCTTTAAAGTCCAGCCACAGGCACACTTCTCCCCCAGTGCATTCCTGAGATCAACCACTTGAGAATCCTTCCAGTCCCTAGGCACATCCTTCCTTTCAATGTAATATCTTTCTTTCCATGCTGCCACACAGGATTCTAACCAAAAATGCATCTGTCCAACTACCAAAATCTTAGTCATCTTCAAATTCACTTCAGACATCCTGATACCTGTCTCTCCCATGCAAAATTCAAAACCTCCCTTAAGCTCCGGCCACTCAGTAAAGACCTTCCATAGCAACCACCATAGCCTACTGTCATCAGTCTGCACCCAGTGATCTTAAATCCCCGGAGATCAAGGTTACCATGTGTATCTGTTAGAATACATTCATTGGGATGTCTGCCTGCCAGTCCAGCGTACCTTCCATGGAAAGCTCTTTCACCCTTCCTACCTGATTTTGGGGAGGCCATGGGATCACTCAAGCTCCCTAAGGAATCTGTGCTGTGAGAAGAGCCTGAAGGGAATGGAGCCTAGTGAACCAATGGCAACACTCTCCTCTCCTGAAGGGAATGGAGCCTAGTGAACCAATGGCGGCACCTTCTTCTCCTGAGCCCCACTTCCCTTGGCTACAGGCAGAGTCTGCAGATCTCCCCTTGTATTCTTCAGTTAGCTCAAGGGCTCTGTTGCTCATGAGCCTTATCATCTGCAATCAAAGGGCAACACCATAACTGCTGTAGTGGTGTTTGAATAAGAACAGCCCTCATAGGCTCATATATTTGAATGCTTAGACATCAGGGAGTGGCACTATTTGAAAGAATTAGAAGGACTGGGTGTGCCCTTGTTGAGAAAAACTCAATCTGCAGTCGTAATCCAAAAACAGAGGAAGCCAGTCACAGAGCAAGCAAGATGTGACTGCCTCACTGAAAAAGGCACCAAGCCACATAGCTAACACAGATATATAGGATGTAAGAATTAGTTAATAAGAAGCTGAGCTAATAGGCCAATCCATTTATAATTAACGTAGACCTCTGTGTGTTTTCTATGGGACAAAAACCCGGGTCAACAGTAAAACAGGGCTTTTGGAGCTAAACGCAACATTAAGAGTGCCCAACACTAATGGGGTTACTATAGATTCTGGATGTCCATCTTCTCAGACAGAGCTCTTCCCATGTATAGCCTCTAAATACATAAAGTAACAACAACATTTAACCTGCATCAGAAAATGCAAGGAAAAGGCCATGGTCATGTGTCACCTGACATAACTGGACCCAGAACCATCCTCTGGCGTCTCTATGAAGTACCCCAGAAAGGGGCTCTTTTTCTTCTGATACCGGTGGCTGTGGTAAATCCGGGTTCCTCGGGGTCTGCACCCAAACCCCAGCGGAGGCAAGGAAAACACACTCTGCCCTTTATCCTTGGCTCACATGACTAAGCCTAGCCAAGAGAACATCAACATCATTATCAAAGAATCAAGACATGTGGTAATGAAGACGTTACAGTAACTGAAAGTTCAACCACGGGAAGAAAAGTGTGCAGGAGAACCACAAGCCCAGCCACTCACTTCCTCCTGATAACTTCTCCTGTGGGGAGATGAAAGATATCACCAACGACTCAGGAAACAGCAAGTTACCTGAGGATTCATCTCCCCTTCTCAAGCCTAGGGTACTCCAAATGTCAAAGACAAAGGCAAATGGTGACTCCTTCTGCACAGAGTAGCGAATGCTGAGGAGCCTAGAATGCAACCTCAAACTACTTAACTATAATTCTGCAGATTGTCTTTTTCTCAGAGGCCTTCTCTACCATCCTGTCTGTCTGTCTGACCATAGATCACTCTTCAACAGCTCATATAATAGATAAATTTATTTGCCCCCTATAGCTACTACTAGGTACTTAATAGCCTTGCACCCTTACCATTTTTTGCACATCATATCCACAAATTCCATCTACATGCTGTAGCTAAAAAACTGGAGGTCTGAAGTTAAGTCAGTCAAGGTCTTACAGCTACTGGTTGCAGAGCCCACAGCTTGGGCATCAGGCCTCTGTCCTAAGCCCTTCTTACTGCAGTGCTCCCTACTCAAAGGCTACCACCACCAGCAGCCTGAAACAAGAAATTGGCAGCCCAGGCATGCAGAATATACCCTGTGCTGTGAAATTGGAGCTGTAGGCCTTGGACACAATACGTGTCTTTATTAAACATTGGTTTTTCTCACCAAGTAAGGAGCTGAGCTCTCCACTGTGGCCTGGGAGAAGGCCCAGGATACCTCCCATGTTCCTCAGAACCACCCAGCATCTTCAAGTAAGGGGAGCCCAGCAGGTGGACTCCAGGGCCCCACCGCCTTTTCAGTGTGCAGTTTTCCTTCACTGGGACTTGGGAGAGGGAAGAGAGGGAGGGAGGGAGGGAGGGAGGGAGGGAGGGAGGGAGGGAGGAAGGCAGGAAGGAAGGAAGGAGGGGAGGGAGGGAGGGAGGGAAGGAGGGAGGGAGGGAGGGAGAAAATCACTAAAGTAGACAGCAGCTAAGAAGGGAGTAGAGAGATGAATCAAGAGAGGAGAGGGACTAGACTTAGGGGCTAGTAAAGGACTGAGGGAAGGAGCCCTCTTAGCAAGCACAGAACATGAATTGTTCTATCTTCTTCCCTGGCTGAAACAGTCCTTTACTCTAGACACAGACTCTGCTCTATAAACCCAGTTTTCTCCTGACCCTTATGATTCAGAGGGACGATGACATCCCCCTTTTCTTATCCCTGCTGCCCACTCCTCGAAAGCTGCCTCCTCTAGAACCAGGGTCTGGGAACTCCCAAAGACAGACACCACTCACCATTCACAGGGCCCCGGACATATGGACACATGCATACAGGGCATACGGTGGCCCAACCTGAGTACCCTGCCCCTCTTCTTTGATTAAAGACTCAGAAATTCTAAGCGAGTATGTGGGCTCTCAGTGGGTACCCAGTGCTCTGTTCCTCCACTGAAAAATCAGATGACCCTTTTCCAATGCCCAGTTCTCTCATAGACAATTTTCTTTATTAACAAACCGTCCCTGAGAGAACACTTCCTCTTTTCACTGAGTTTCATCTTCTGCATAGAATAAAGAGGAAATCGGCAGACAGTGATACCCGAGGTGTGCCTCCTGCTTTTCCTTTCAATGTCTTGTTCTACCTGAGCAAATGAAGGCAAAACATTGGCCCTACCTGAAAGGAGGAGACACCGAGGAATAAAGTCACCCATCAGATTAGTTCAAGACCAGCCAGTTAGATGTCAAGAGCCAAAGTCCCCAGAACTCTCGCTTGTACTTTGTCACAGCAATGACAGTAGATAATAATTATGTATATTTGTCACAAGTACTTCCATGACTTCAAACATGTTATTTAAGTCACACACCAACCCTGAGGGACAAATATTACTCTCCCCATTTACAGATATGGTAACTGCTAATTAGGTTAATTAACTCATCCA